CAGCCTCTCCTTTGAGTGTGAGCGGAGAGAGAGGGGGGGGGGGGGGGTCCGGGGTCCGGTGCGTCCGGTGCGTCCGGTGAGTCCGGTGAGTCCGGTGCCCAGGGCCCAGTCGCTCACTGCGCGGCCTGCGCGGCCAAACTTTCCGGGGCCTAAGCCCGTACGGACTAAGCCGCTGCTCTGCTCGCCGCCCTTGTCCTCGCTGTCCCCTGCAGCCGGGCTCACCTCAGCGCGTCGCGGCCTCGACTCGCCGCAAAGCGACAACCGCGAGGCCCCGCTGCACAGTGGGCCACAAGACCGGTGAGGGCGGTCAAAATCCCGGACGCGTTTTGAGCTCCAGAGTCGCTAAATGGGACTCGAACCGAACGTGTGACCCCGCCTATGGATTGCTCTCCGAACGAGGAATCCACTGGCGGTGGGGTCAGAACTCTTTTCTTATTTTTAGAGTTGACGTTCGACCTTTCGTTCCAGACGACAGCCCAGGACATGGCGAAATAAACCCCTCCTTTCACTGCATGAACCGCTGAAGCAAGTTTCTTCTCCCCGCCCCAGTCCAGGACGACTTGGTCGTCGACGCCAGTGTCGCGGCAGAGCTGTGCGCGCCTTGCGAGGCTTGCCGGATCGCCGCGAGTACACTGTGTGTGTTCGTGCGAGGAGGTAACCGCGCCTGCGTGACGCGCATGGCGTGAGGCGTTTGCCGGGCGTTTGCCTTGAGGGCAGCACAGACGCCGCGCTGTGCCGCGCCGCGCCCTGCCCGCTCCTAAGTGTTGGCTTTATGAGTTTCCGTTGGACGTGACTTGTGAGCGGGAGGGGACCAAGTTTTCAATCAGCTTGCGAGTGGGCACGGCGGCACACTGCGAAAGGGAGACGGGGACGGAGGAGGGAGGGAGCGAGAAAGACAGGGCGAGTTTCTCTTTGGACGAGTTCGGTTAAACGGCGCGGTCAACCCCGCGAAGGCGCCGCTGGGCCGAGGTGGGTGGGGGCGCACAGCAGCGCACAGTGGGCCAGAAGACCGGTGGAGGCGGCCAAAACTCTAGACGCGTTTTCAGCACCAGGGTCGCTAAAAAGGACCCGAAACCGACGTGTGACCCCACCAATGGATTCCTCGTTCGGAGAGCAATCCATTGGTGGGGTCACACGTTCAGTTCGAGTCCCTTTTAGCGACTCTGGAGCCCAAAACACGTCTAGAGTTTTGGCCGACTCCGCCGGTCTTCTGGCCCACTGTGGGTCGACCGAGCGCTGGGTTTCGTGGAAACGGAACGGGGACCTCGGATTAGCCCTTGCCGAGCTGCTGCACGTGGAGGTCGCAGACGACGCAGGCGACGTAGACGACGTAGACGACGTGGAACAGGCGCCGAGGCTCGCCTCGCCTCACCACCTTCCCAGAGTCGCAAATGGAATCAACAATAGTTGCGGCAGTGCTGTCGTTTGCCGCCTTCCGCCGTTTCATTGTTCGCCCGTTCCGACCGATCTTCTTCAATTTCCCGGAATCTCCGCCTCCCTCTTTAAGGGCTTCCAAAGGGGCTTACCTTTTTAAGATTACACTCCTTTTTCTCTCTCTCTCTCTCTCTTCTCTCTCTCTCTCTCTCTCTCTCTCTCTCTCTCTCTCTCTCTCTCTCTCTCTCTTTCTGCGATAGAGGGCCCTGTGTGCCCTTTTTTCCTTCTTTCGTCTCGCTCGCACCCGTTGAGCCCCTTCAGCCCGTTCGGGTCTATTTGTTCGCTAAAGGGATTCGTGAAAATGTATTTTGCTGCGGCTGCTCTCTGTGGGCAGTGTGCTTTCTTTTGCTGGAGCGATATTATCTTGGACATCCGCTTCGACGGAAATGGAGACTTTTCACGTTGCACCGCTCTCAAGTTCCTGCTGAGCTTTTTCTTCGTCACTCGCGTGAAGAGCTTCATTAATAGCTTAGTACTACAGCGCAGTTTTTCCTGCAAATGATGTCCTGTCTCTTTATATGCTTTACGAACCCATTTCTGAGAGACGCAGCTTTGTCTTCCAACCGCACAGCCTTTCTCAGTGGCTTAGTGAGGGCATCGCTGTGAACCACACTTGGAAACAGGAATATGTTTGTTTTCCAAGACGAGATTTTTTCGTGAATGTTTTCCTCCACGCCACGCGTCGCTTCTACCAGATAAAAACGGCATTGTGAGGCGACACACGCGCCGCATCGGCAGCCAGTAAAGGACCGTTCAGTGGAATGTTTGTGTTTCGAATTCGAACCACGCTGTAAACTGCCGTGGGATTCACTGCCAGTGCCATTTCGTTGATCCTCGGAGGGCCCCGGGGAGGAGTGGGGACGAACAGGGGAAAGAAAAAGGAGAGGGGGGGGGGAGAAGACGGGGCAAACTTCCTGCAATACAACCTGTTGATGATGGGGGAGGCCTCCACTTCGTTTCATTGCTTCCTGCGGTCTGCGGTCGCCCTGTCCTTCTTTCCCGTCCTTTTCCATCCTTCATTCTCACTTGGACACAGTCAAGAATTATTTGGAAAGTCCCGAAAATTGCATTTCAAAAGCTCCTTGAACGAACTTGTACAAAATAGAAGTGCTTCAATACAAATACAAACTATTCTACGCCTTACAAAGAAAAGCAGCTTGCTATAACAAAGTATTCTGGGCACCCATAAGCTTACAAAGAAAGCACTTAGTAAATTACGAACTATTTCTTCGTATAACAAAGTAAATTAGTTTGTACTATGCATGCTCTAAATACTTCGTGCGGTTTAAAGCGTGGGGACTTCGGAATTTTCAGACGCAACTTCTCGCCATGAACTTCCCTGTGAATTGCCGGAAATGCCAAAATTCCTTTTTCTGGCAGTGAGTGAAACCGCTGTATTTCTGGCCTCCCCTCCCCCGGTGCCTCCGGCGCCCACGTGCGCGGGCATTAATAGCGCAGCAAAAACAAAAGCAAGTTAAACGCTTCACCCATCATCGTTATCCTCGTGCAGTAAGCATGTTGGACGACCGAAAAATTAGGGCACGCTTCCAGAAATAAACGTCCCTCCGGTTTACGCCAGCACACTGTTTGACCAGCCACTCCGAATCTAGATCGACGCAAAATTCGTTGACTCGTCTATTAGAATTTGAATAACCGTGCGATTTATCCAGTCCATCTAAAGGCCGCGCAGTGGGCCAGAAGAGCGGCGCCAGGCGCGGCCGGCCGCGTTTTGAGCTCGAGACTCGCTTAACAGGGCTCGAACCGAGCGTTTGATCCCACCAATCGATGCCTCGTTCGGAGAGCAATCCATAGGTGGGGTCAAATGCTCTGTTCGAGTCTCATTCAGCGACTCTGAAGCTCAAAACGCGTCCGGGTTTGTGACCGCCTCCACCGGTCTTCTGGCCCACTGTGGGGGGTTGCCCCGGTGATCCACGGCCGCCCAGAACCACGGGCAGGGTGGCAGGGCTGCGAAAAGATTCACACGCAACGTGGGCGGAGGGCGGAGCCTTGGGCGGAGCCACACCGTAAATTAAGCGGTGAAACATTAAGGCCGGAATCACGTGAATGGAAGCTTAATGGGCCACCCGCCTTTGTTTCCGATGAATCTCACCTTGGGACGCCGTCGGCTGGCGGTGGCCCGGAGACCCACCGGTTCTGACCTGTTTTCACGGCGGGTAGTGCGGATGTTGCAGCGGGTGTTCTTGTCTGCGTCCGAGGTGCCAAGTTTACTTTTGCGTCTGTGAAAGTTCTTGGCGCAGGGGTAAGTTGGGGAGGAAACAAAACAGGGGAAAAAAGATCACTTCCATGTTTCTGTGTCGCAGAGATCTCAACAGGCATTTGACAGGGATTTTATGTCGCCTTTTACGTCGAGATTTCCACTTTGAGTTGAAATTTACTGGTCGAGGGATGGCTCCAAGTCAACAATTCATCTCAATCAGGGTCTGCTTTCCTTCCCCAACTAACGCCTCCTCCTTCTGAGAAGGTCACAGAGTGATGCCCGACTTCCCAATGAGTGAGCACTCAGTCTATTCTTAGAACCGCTCCAAGGAAGCAGGCCGGCTTGGGACGCGGTGTCAACCCAGTCGGCACGACGCCGATATCTGACCCGGAACGGAGTGGGTGCGGGGGCGTCTTGGACGCACACAACAGGGGGCTATTTCAGGACGGCGGGGGCGCCGTGAGCGTGGGCGGGAGAGGCGGACCGCGAATGGAAAGTGAGGGACCTGTTGGACTTCTGGCGTCGCGTCCGTTGCGAATACGGTCTTTACGGGGCACGACGGCAAACTCGCCTCGAAGATAATTGTTTTTTTGAGGAGTGATGCGTTGGAGTAGGAGGGTGGAATGACGCAGTGAGGAAAGGCTGGGACCGTCAGGGAAAGGCTGCGCTGTGGGCAAATAAAGGGGGATCGAATTAATGCGGTTTGGACTGGGGGATGGAGTGGGCCCAGGTAAAGGGCGTCGAGTGGAAGGCGGCAATTGTTATTCCAGGTCCAGCCTGCCGGGCTCCGCCCACAGGGCTTCACGCGCAGAGTTTCGCCCGCAGGGTTTCGCCCACAGGGTTTCGCCCACAGGGTTCTGCCCACAGGGTTCTGCCCACAGGCTTTCGCCCACGGGGTTTCCCTCGGCCCCACGCTTGTTCAGCAAAACCGGTAGTCGGCTGCCGTATCAGAGGTGGCAAGTGGCCAGTCGAGTCGGCAGGCTCAACAACACCCCCTCTCGTCCTCGTGGGGAGTCACGTGGGAGGTGCGAGAGAGACAGCGTGATGAATCGTCGCCACACCCACGCCCAATGACTACCCTGCTGAAATGAGTAGTCCACCACGTTTGCCTGGATCGATCGCCCCATCCCTCCCTACCCACCGGCACCCGTTTCTTGCTGGCAAATCAGTGAGCTGGGACTGAGCCGTGCCCTTCTCCGTGTCTACATACCGTCCCGTCTGCCTGCCATTTCATTACTGATAACCAACGTTCACTCTAAAAAAAATGCTATGGCCCTTTTCGGTCGCTGAAGGCCGGCTGGCTGGTCAGGGAGGATAGTGGCTGACGCCTGTGTGTGTTTGGTTGCAGGAGGCTTCCATCTTCCTGTTCGAGAAGCGCCTGGCCGAGAAGCTGCACAAGCCCAAGCGCAAGGACACTGTGTGCGAGGTGCTGCGCGGCAGCGTGAGGCAGCTGGAGCGGTTCCGGCACCCCAAGATACTGCAGGTGAGCCTCTTCTTTCTTTTCATTCTAGAGTTTGTATTTTTTTTTTTTTTCAGAAAAAAAAAAAACACGAGAGAAATGTTTTTAAAATATTTCAGAAAAAAAAACCCTTAAAAACATGTGAAATACTGACCTATTCGTTTACTTGGAAGGTTTTAGGTCATAAATTTCATTCGAATTACTATTAGCGCACGGTCCGCCGAGGTCTTCAAAAGTCTGGAATAGTTCGTTCCCGACGACCATCTGAAAGTTGGTCTACCTTATATGGTTGCCAATCGACCGTATTGGTCCAGAAATGACTGCAAAGACTTCGGTCCGAATTTTCACACATCCCCGCCTCGAGATCTGATAAGAAGCGGCGGAAGTAATTGAGGGCGAGGAAATGGGATTCATCCCGAAAACGAGGCCAAGGCCAGCAAGGCCGCCCATAGCGCCTGTTTTGACAGGGACGCATGGCCGTGTGCCTGTAAACAGGCCGCGGCGTGGGCGGCGGCAAAGCGCCTCCTGTCTCTCTCGCACCCTCGCGGAGGGCCTCCGCGAGTGCGACGGAGCGGCAAAGCGACTCTTCTGGGCGACAACACTGCGCGATAAATTATTCAAACGGCATCGGCAGTCAAAACGTGTTCGGATACTCTTGGATGATCGATGTCCACCTCGCCCACGCCACACACTTTTATGTTTTGCTGGTGGAAAAGCTGCTACACGTCAGGGACATGGAAAGTCACGGGTTTTGTTTCACAATTTTTGTGGATTTTCGCAACTTATTGAAAAACTAATTGCCAGGCTGACGGTTGTTGATCTGAGCTTCGTTGATGTAAGGTGGCCCCGGTTGCTTTGCTGCATCCTGCCCGGCCTTTGAACCCTCGTGCCTGGTTGCAGGTCCTGCACTCGGTGGAGGAGTGCAATGAGACGCTGGCCTTCGCGTCCGAGCCCATCCTGGCTAGTCTGGCCAACATCCTGGCGTACCACGAGGCCTCGGGGAGCGGGGCGAGTGGCGCACCCTCCACGGGGGCGTCGCATCCCAACACAGTGCAGCGGCCGCCGCCACACGCCAAGGACTACTCCTTCCTGGACCTGGAGATCAAATACGGACTGCTGCAGGTGAGCTTCTCCTGCAAGACTTGCTATAACCTGGCGTCACCACAGACCCAAGTTCCTACTTCCCAAGGTCACGTATCCCCAATTGCATAAGTGCGTAAAAAAGTAATTTTGTTGAAATCCTCGAGAGCTGGAGCCTCGGCTCATGTTCGCAGTGTAGGGGAAGGAACTGCAGGATGTTGTTCTTAGGTTACGGAAGCCTTTCCTGGGGATGGCGTCCACTCCCAGGGGTCAACTCGAGCGCCTTCTTTTTGGTGGCGCGTCTCCAACTTGTTGCATGGCTTTATCATGTCGCCCCAGGCTTTGCCTGCGGGCAGTGCGGTTTGGCGCAGGGATGGAGTCGCTATATGCATCAGGCCATGTCCTTAAGCATTCGTTGAGGCTTGGTGCACTCTAAATGTCTTGTGGTAGAAGGCTGCACCAACATATTATGGCCATATTATGGCCAAAATCTTCGCCGGTGAAGATTTTGTCCACAATACAAACGAAAGTAGTCAAAATATCTATAAGGGACAGTGAATTCTCAATGGTATGTTATAATCTCACCACCATAATAAAGACAATTTCACCGTACTACAGACAATCTTAACCATACAACTTTTAGAGTGTGTATCACTGAGGCAAATTAACCAAAGTGGCGAAGTGAGAAAAGTGCGACACCACTGTGACGCCCCCGCCCTTTCCCCTCTTGTCATCGGGGAGCGCCGATTGGCTGGCCGAGGCGCCAAGCCCCGTTGAGCCCTTTGAAGCACCGGCTGGCTTAAGACGGACCGCTCAGCAGAATTACGCGTCCTTGGGGCGGTGTGGGGCCCACAGTGTGGGGCCCTGCGGAGCCCTCGGAGGGGCCAGACTCATTCTCGCATCAACAGTTGGCCGCGCTGGGGAACGCAGGGGGAATGTTTTGCCGGGGCACTCCGCGGAAAATGAAACACAGTCACAAGGGTTGTTTAGTAACAGTGCGCAGATCTTGAAATCATTTGAAGATTATGGTTCGCCTTAGTGTGCTGTCTAGAAACAAGCTAGCAAGATGGATTATACAAGTAGACCAAGCTAGCAGTCGGTCTACTCAGGTACATTATTGACATTACCTTGTGATAAGCAAGTTCATCGAAGTACATTGTCATGTGGAGCAAGCAAGTATGCCATACTTAAATCCTGGAAACACCTAATTGGCCCATCAAATCAAAATATTTTGGAACATGCTACTGCTTGGTTCGTGCGAGACCAAGCTAGAAGTCGCTTTTCAGGCGGTGCCAGAATCTCAGCCTGTGTCATTTTTCATCATAAAAGTGAAAGTGGAACCAAGGCCACGACCGTCGCCGGGCCGCCGATCCCCTAGTAGCCTCTGTTCGGTGCACCGCGACGACAAATTTGTCAATAAGCCGAATGGCACCGACAAGAGCAGCGCGGCTCCCCGCGGGAACAACACCACCACCACCACCACCAACAACAACAACAACAACAACAACAACAAGAGCGCCAACAAAGCCGCGCTGTGTCACCGGGCCCCACTCTCCTGTCTGGCGCGCCGCAATGGGGCCGCGTGGCGGGGCGGCGTGCGGGGCCGCGCCCCTCGCAGCCACTCGGCGGCACTTGCGGGGCTCAGGCGCACACTTGGCCGCCACTTCGGCACCGCCATGGCACCGCCACTTGCCACTCGGGCCGGCTTGACAATGGCCCATTTACAAAACTGCGTCCCCCGGATGGGATCCCCGGATGGCATCCCCGGATGGCATCCCTGGATGGCCCAGCAGGTGTGGCACGGAACAAATTAGGGTCGCCTTTAGCCGCTGTCGCTACTCCGGGGACTTTGGGGACACTGCCGTGCCCCGACCCCCTCTGTACTTCGCGCCTGCCTGACCTGCGGAAGCCGCTTCTTTGCTCCCCTTCTTGCATCGGACTTTAAGGTGTTTCTAACCTGCGGAAGCTAATGCGGAGCCTTGTGTGCTCTCCTTGCGTGAGACTGTACTTCGCGAAGGCCTAGCCAACCTTGAAGCTAATTCAGAGCCTTGTTTACTCTTCTTCTTGCACCGGACTCTACTTCGCGGACGAAGGCCTGCCCTGTCCAACCTACGGAAGCTAATACCGAGGCTTGCTTTGCTCTCCTCGAGAGCCTATCCGGCGCCCCCCCCCCCCTCTCTCTCTCTCCTTGCAGTAGCGGGCCGCCAAGGCGGGCGCTTTGACAACGGCGGCGACGCTACCCTCTTGATCTTTTATACATGTGACGGAAACAAACACGCTGCCGAGTTTCATTCCGCCTTTGTGTCGAATTATTCATCGCAAAGGAGGGTGCCAGATTCAAGGCCAGGGGCGAGGAGCGTGGAGCGTGGAGCGTGCGGGCAGCTAGGCGCGTGGGCGTCAAGGCGGCGGCAAGGCGGTGGATTACTCCGAGGGCCGCGTCGGGCCGCGCCAGTCTGACGTCGGGAGGCCAAGACCTCGCACCTCGCATCGGCCACCTGGTCGGTCGGGAGCCAGCTGCCGGGCTGAACTGTGGGGAGCAACTCACTAAACGCATATCGGCCATAGACACGCAACAAAAATAAAAAAAATTGTCACAAGAGGTACTAAATTCCTTTGGGTTTGGGTGTTTGCCCTTGTGTTTGCCTCACACAAGTTAAACGCATGGGTGCTTTTCGCACGAGTTTCTTAGGAATTTCCCGCGCGAATAAAATGTGGTGGAGACGCACGTCGGTAAAACGGTAGAGCACAGCACACATTAGACCGTGAGCCTACAAACAGGCACGAGTTGGCAAACAAAAGTGTGTGGTCTCTTGCCGTTGGAGGCAAATCCAAGTTCACTAGACTCAACGACCTTTAGGGGATAGGCCGCAGACAAGGCTGTGTGTGTGCGGGAGAGAGAGAGAGAGAGAGAGAGAGAGAGAGAGAGAGAGAGAGAGAGTAGCCTACGTATCGGAAGGGGCGCAGAGGAAAGAAAAAGTCTCCTCCCCACGAGCGTGTCCCTCTAGGTCCCCGGCCACTTCTGGTCCGAACCAGGTTTGCAAATGCTTTTCCACGGAGAAACCCAACCAGGCCCACTGAGCTGCCGGTCTAGCCAGTCCCCTTCCCCTGCCCCCAAAACACACACATACACACAGAAAGACACTCACAGACACGCCAAGCACGTCCCCGTCTTCTGCTTGCTTATTTGCCTTTTTTCGCCCTTGCCGTGCGCTGGCATGGCGCTGGCTCGGCCTGGCCGTCTGTGCCGTCTGCAGGCCGGCTCCGAGCAGAGTGCCGTGCCGCAGGGGTGCGAGAGAGACAGAGTGCTGGCCGCTCTATTCGCGCACACGGGGCCACGTCCGGCTTCAGAGAGAGACTGCTCCTCTTCTTCTTCTTCTTCTTCTTCTTCTTCTTCTTCTTCTTCTTCTTCTTCTTCTTTCTTCTTCTCCTCATTCGCATTCTCATTCTCCCCGAAGCCGCGATGATTCGCTGCTCCCGACGACGCGATCGACTTTTTTTTTCATTTTTTTTGATTAACCAGAGCCGAGCTCGCGTCGACTGCCCCCCCCCCCCCCCACGGCTCGGCACGGCCCGGCTTGCTGGCGGGCAGGCAGGGCGGCGAGAACGCTGCCAGTCTAAATACGCCCAATGGGAGAAGTATGCGAGATATTACATCTCCAACCATAAGGAAATTAATTTCACTGTCGACTGAACGCGCTTCTAGGCGTCCCCCGTCCCCCTCCCACTTTACAGGGGCTGTCCGACCCGTCTGGCTCCCCCTGCCGCTCAGAGTGCCCCCTCCGTTGCCCCCTCCGTTGCCCCCTCCGTTGCCCCCTCCGTTGCCCCCTCCGTCGCCCCCTCCGTTGCCACCTCCACTGCCTCCACGCGACCAGAGTCTCACTCTTGGCTCCAGACGGCTTTCGTTTCCCCGCGCCGTCTGCGGATCTCTTTTTATCATGCCCTCCCCTTCTCTCCCGCGGTGCAGCCCGACTTCAGCCTCCCGTCCCTGCGTCGCTCTGTCTCTGTCGCACTCATGGCGCGCCACGCGGCGGTGCGAGCGAGACGGAGCGAGCCGAGGTAGGCAGCCGGCCGCGTTCGGCGCACGCGTGGGAGGCGAGTTGCCTACCGCCGCCACCGCAGGCGTCTCGGGCTGTTGGCGGCGAGACATTTTGGCTACAAATTTGAACGCGGAAATCGCGGCGTCAGGTCCAATGTTTGCCGTCTCCGGTGGCTTGTTGTCGGGCTTGTCTCTCCGGCACGCCGCCGCAGCGCCCACGTGTACCCCCACGTGAGCTGCCCCAACTCCCTACCTTTACCCAAAGTGTTCTCTACTAGGTGTGTGTGTGTGTGTGTGTGAGCGCGCCGGTGCGGCGTGCCGAACCACAGGGAACCACGGGGCGCTCATAATTCGATTTACCTCCACACAAAGTGCGTTGCCCGGGCAAGGCCCGGCGAGGCCTGGCAAGGCTTGGCGAGGCCCAAATCGGGACCGCCGCCGCCGCCGCGCCAGGCCTGTTCAGAGACGCAAATCATGACTGGCGCCTGTGCCGCCGCCGCTGCTTCCCTGCTGGTGTGTGGGCGTGTGTAGATGTGTGTGTGTGTGTGTGTGTGTGTGTGTGTGTACGTGTCTTTAGCGGGTGGCGGGGCGTACCGCACGCACTAAATCACACGCTGCCTCCTCGGATTGTCGAAAACAGCGGCACGCGTACTTTCGGGTGGCAGGGCCGAAAGGCAGGCCCTAGCGGCAGGCCACCCTGCCCGTTCTTCCCGCTCAGCTCAAGTCGTGAGCGTCCGCGGATCCTTGGATTAGTCCGGGCCGCGGCGCGCCACGCCGTGCCACGCCAGCAGGGGTGCCCTTGGGTGCTCGCTCACCTTCTCGTTTCCCCGAATGTTTTATTAATTCTTCTCCCCCTTTTTGAAGGCATGTCGTTCATGTAACTGAGAGAAATCATACCTGTACATGAGACCAGCCCTCACGTCGCCTCACGTATCCTTGTAGTTTCATTTCGAAACGAGATTGACCTGCTTCATGGCCACTCAGACGACACACCTGCTCGTTTTTTGACTCCTAAAGCTCCGTTCCTTTACCGGGCCTCGGTGAGCGCAGCTGAGACCGTCACCATTTTGAAGCGAATGTCCTCTCCGCGTAGTCAGTGCCCAACGGGGCCTGTGACCACTAAACGGACTGGGATCTCGGCAGGCACGGTGGGCTTCATTTGGTATGGGCGGGGTGGGCGTGTAGTGGAATTGAACGTGTCTTGAGGCTTGCGACGTGGCAGGCATAACTCTGTCCAGGTGGAAGAGGGGGAGAGAGAGAGAGAGAGAGAGAGAGAGAGAGAGAGAGAGAGAGAGAGAGAGAGAGAGAGAGAGAGAGGCCGGCTGTCATAGGGGGATTAGCCTCCAGAGGAGCTTCTACTGGAGAAGCCGCTGTGGCTGGAGTGGTCTGGAGCAGGGGGCTGGAACAGGGGGCGGGACCAAGGAGGGGTGGGCGAAGGGGGGTTGCAGAAAGCAAGGCTTAAAAGGCAGCCCCGTGCGTCATTCTGACACTGCCGCCCCAAATTTCGGGATTTGTGCAGCGATGCCGCACCGCACCGTCGGAGCGGGTCGCTTGCCGGAGTTTTCACGCGAAAAAAAAAATACGTGGTTCTTTACACGGTTCTTTTCGTCTTCGACAATCCAATGAATGCTGATCCACCAATGTCAAAGCAACAGTGAAGTAAAACCAACAACTGAAAAGCACTGCGGTCGGTCCCATCCCTGCCCTCATTTCGTTGCCATCGTTTTGGAGCGACGCTTCAGCGCAGAAGACGCGCGCCGTTTTAGCTGTTGTCTTTTACAGCAAAGGTGCGGCAGCACCGGCCCGCCTGTCTGACGAAAAAAAGAGAGAAATAACAGAACTTTGCATTGCAGATGAAGCATTCGCCTCGCAGGGCGTTTCACGTGTTTCCGTGTGTGTGTGTGTGTGTGTGTGTGTGTGTGTGTGTGTGTGTGTGTGTGTGGTGTGTGTGTGTGTATTGCCCGGGCAGGCAGAGAGGGAAGCCCCGAGAAGGGATTTACATTGCTAATGGCCTGATAGTCGCCTCCAAATTCTGCTAATAGTTAATCTTCTCGCACCGCCAACTGCCTGGGAGCCCAGGGAGAGTTTCTCCGCGTACCTTGGACCGGTAATCGAAGGATCGCTTTTAACGTCAAAGCTTTTTCCCTTTCACGATGTTGCCATCGTTGTCTGGCTCGGCAGTGTGTGTGGCGAGCGGCCGGACACGCCTCGGTCCAGTCTTTGTCGGCGGTCTGCATACAGCGGCCCTTTTCCCTTGAGTTCTCGCCACTGTAAGCGGCACCCCGACGCCCTAATCCATTTATTGACCGGCTAATGAGAAAATTGCCAGGTTAAGGGCTTCCCCCTCTTGCCCTTTCCTCGCCGCCGACGAAGGAACAATTTTTAATTAACTGGCGCGGCGGGGGAGTTCCCTCGCCATCCTTCAGCGATGATTGGTTTCCAATGTCGCGTTTAAAAGGCAAAGGATTTCCGCGTTTCTCCATTCATCTCAATTTCATTCACTCCCAAAACCTCACCAACCTTTTCAGACCATACAAAGAAAATAGTTTGCCTGGTAAAAAGGATTTTGAGCGTACAAAAGCTTAACAAGAAAATACGTTGTAATTTTACGAACTAGTATACTTTGAATAGCGAACTTCATTTTGTGTGACCTCGTATAGTGCTCAAAACGTTTCGTAGGGTTTTCAGCGTGTCCTTTTCTTTGTTTTTTTTTTTTGCGTCTTGTTTGTTGTTGTTTACTGACGTGCCCGTGCTTTGCAGCTGACGGAGGCGCTGTCGTACCTGCACTACACGCACCACATGCTGCACCGACACGTCTGTCCCGCCTCCATCTTCGTCAACAAGCGAGGCGTCTGGAAGCTGGGTGGCCTTGAATTCACAGGTGAGTCATTTCACATCGACAAGTTTTAGCAAAGAGGAAATCACTATGAATTTTGCAAATGCAACAGAATTTCAGTCGAACTGTGGTGAATGTTAGGTAGACGCAGCATGGTCGCATGGCATAGAATGTGACTGGAAGGTAGGCAACGAGTCGCACGGGTATAGGCAACTTTCGTTACTTCCCTCGATCCACCCTTGTACCCGCCTGTCCTTCCCGACTCCGCCGCAGGGCGGGACAGGGGGACCTGGCCTTGCTTGGCTTGGCCTTGCTGGCCTTGCCTGGCCTTGCCTGGCCTTGCTGGGCCAGCCGCGTCTCACGATCAATAATACACCTCTGGACGCTCACCTGTAGAGCCAAGAGGGCCAAGGGAGCTGAGTGAGAGGCCCCGGACTGGTACGGTGCCGCACAGTGGGCCAGATGACCGGTGAAGGCGGACAAAATCCCGGACGCGTTTTGGAGCTCCAGAGTCGCTGAATGGGGCTCCAACCCACCTATGGTTTGCTCTACGAACGGAGGAATCCATTGGTGGGGCACACGCTCGGTTCGAGTCCCATTCAGTGCCTCTGGAGCTCAAAACGCGTCCAGAGTTTTGGCCGCCTCCACCGGCCTTCTGGCCCACTGTGCGGTGGCTGTTGCCTTGCGGTGTGGCGTCGTGGCCGCGAGTCCACCGAGCGACTCTGCATTGGGCTGTGCAGGCTGCTTCCGAGGGCTCGTTAGCCCGCCCCTGAAGCGGGCCGTGGCATCGGGCCGTCGGGGTGCGAGAGAGACGGAGCGGCGCGCCCTTGACTGTACACCGCGCGGCCGCGCCCACCGAGAGATGCCGAGTCCTTTGGCGGCGCGACTGGGACCCGGAGGGGCGGGGTGGGGGAGGCACTTGCAGAATTCGAGGCTGGCGGAGTGGCGGCCGGGCGGGCGCTTGGCAGGAACGAGCCCTGGAAACGAGTTGGGCCACTTGGTAAGCCTAATTGCTTTTTAATTCTCTTCCTCCAGTTTTGCGTTCTCTGTCGTCTTTGCTTGCCATCCACCCGCATCGCTCGCTCGCCCCTCCCTCCTCCGCGACACCCCCTCCCCTTCGTTGTTGGGATAAGATTTACGTATTCCAATTAAGACAGTCTGCCGCGGGGTTACCGCGCCACCTGACGCCGTGAGCCCGTTCCGGCCCGTTCGCCGGGCGGCCCGGGGCGGCCCGGGGCGGCCTGCCGGGGGTCCCGTTTCAGTTTCGACCCAATTCGCACCTCCCTTTTTCCCAGCGAGGCGGCCCAGGCCCCGGCCCAGGCAGCGAGGCCGCGTTAATCAATGGCCGGCTGCAGGCGCTGCACAGTGGGCCAGAAGATCGGTGGAGGCGGTCAAAATCCCGGACGCGTTTAGAGCTCCAGAGTCGCTGAATGGGACTCGAACCGAACGTGTGGTACGGACCAGATGTGTTCCGTGCTTTCCCGCACTCTTTTCTACGAGTGCACTGTCACGCTCCGTCTCGACAGACTACGCTCCGCCACGCTTGGCCTCGCCCACGCTCCGCCATCAGACGAGGCTACACCGCCCTGCTTCGCCTCCAGGCTACATCACCACCACCTAGCCAGGCAGACTTCACCCCGCCACGACCCACCACGCCCCGCCGGGAGGGACCGGCCCGACCTACCGCCAGTGTAGGCACGGCACATGTCTCATAAAGACGCCTCGGGAAATATCCCTGGCAAATTGAGGCTAGGCGGCGGCGGGGGCAAGGAAGACTTGGGAGTGGCGGTCGCCCCCCCCCCTCTCTCTCTCTCTCTCTCTCTCTCTCTCTCTCTCTCTCCTGGCCGCGGCACCCTGACGGAGAATCCTTATCGAGCTCCCCCGACAGCGCCCCATCCCTCATCGCCCGCTACTTTTCGCCGTGAGCTAATTTGAGGATGGCGTCGTCGGCTGGCGAGTCGGCGGGGGAAAAAAGCGGCACCGCAAGAAGCGGGCGGAGGAAAGACAAATGACTTACGGGTAGCGGCAGAACGAAATCGAAGTATGAGGACTCACCGCGGACTGCGCAGCCTTCGGTTAGTCTGGCCTTTCCTACACACTAAATGTTTTTGCACAAATTTTGTACGAGACATCACAGATTTTTGTGCACACGAACTTTCCGTACAAATTTGTACAGAATTTTATGCAATTTTGTACGAAAATGTCGAAAAATGTGCAATTTTTCCTATGAAAATTGTATGAAAATTTCGTGTGCACAAAAAACTGTGATGTCTCGTCCAAAATTGAACATAACATTTAGTGTGTACATTCGCTTTCGCCGGGCATTGTTTCACAGTCGAGTCCAACGCTCACTGACAACTGAGCCGCGTGTCAAGGGGGTCCATTGCAGGATGTCAAACATCGACCCCGCAACCCGCAGTCTTATTTTTCTTTGCGGGTTCCTTGTTTATCTCCCGAAATGGTTGTACACCTTATGACATTTGAACTCGCGGCGTTTGCGCGCCGAGTCCTGGCCCCGCTCCCAATAATGTACCTGCCGCGCGTGTATCCGAGGATTATGGCTCTCGGTGCTCGGCCATAACAATAACTAACAGCCCCGTGGTGCGCTGTCCCGGGGCGGGGCGGGGCGGGGCGGGGCCGCATCCCTCTGGAAGCGCACCGCGAGTTTCAGCCCTCTAAGTTCATTTCGCGTTAAATCACCGCCCTCAGACGTCACCCCGGGCCCTGTTGGCTGGGTCCAACCAGCAGCGTTCTGTCTCTCTCGCACCCCTTCGGGACGCCCCCATGCGTGCGCGGGAGGGACAGGGAGAGCACTCTCCGGCCTGCCCGCCCCCTCCCGCCCCCTCCCGCCCCCTCCCGCCCCTCCCGCCCCCTCCCGCCCCCTCCCGCCCCCTCCCGCGCACCGAGCCAAAAAGCAGCACCCAACGTGCCCGCTGCTCCCCGCCACCGATGTTCCTCCTCCACAGTTCTCGCCCTTCTAACGGCTCTAACTTCCAGCTCAGCCCGGTACCCGAAGAGCGCCCGCCATCGCTATAATACGTGTAGCAAAATATTTACGAAATGGCAATTTACAATTTACAACTACAGTTTGTTCATTTGCAATTATCAAAAACACTACAAACTTGTTAGAAAGGGTGCAAAGGTCCAAAAACCGACTCAAACGAGCTTAAACCCTGCAAAAAGATACTAAAATAAAGGTGGGGGAACGGGGCGGTTTCAACGGGGCGGTGGTTCTAAAATGATCGGCCATTTGGCAGCGTGCTCGCGGACAAGGCGGAGCCTTTTCCGCGCGCGGGATTTTTCCTCGTTGCCAAGGCGCTTTTTGGCGGGAAATTAGTATTCAGTGCTGGCGGCCTGGCCATGGGCTGGCAGCCGAGTCGGGCCCAGGGGCTCGCCCAGGGCTGGCCCGGGGCAGGGCGAGGCAGGGCGGGCAGGGCGGGCAGGGCGGACAGGGGCCCTGACCAGACAGCAGTGTCATGGCCTCTGCCGCGGCCTTGGCGCCTGGCCGGGGCAGCAGCGGCGTGCCACCGCGCCTCGACTAACTTGGGCCGTTCGTCTCCATCGGTGTCTCTGGCGGGGCGGGGCGGGGCGGGGCGGCATGGAGATGAACCAGCAGAGCCAAAGGGGAGTGACCTGCCTCATGACCTCTCGCGCGACAAAGATGCCGCCCTCTGCTGCAGCCTGTCTGTCAGTCTCTGTCTGTCTGTCCGTCTGTCCGTCTGTCCGCCGTCTTTACAAACTCCCCCCATTCCCGCGTAGGCCACTCTGCTGCATTGATAAGGCCGACGTGACCGGGCTGGGCTGCGCAGTGCTGCGTGCCCTCTGTCGGCAATGGCTCGCCGCGTTTCGCTCGACGATGTCGGCCTCCTCTGCGATCGGGGCACTTATCGCGGTGCGGCGGCGTGGCCAGGGGGACCCTGCCAGGATTTACAAGGCAGTAAAGGTACCGGGCGGGGCGGGGCGGGGCGGGGCGCGGCCGTGTGCTTAGCACCGCAACTTTGGTGCTGTTGCGCCACACGCGCGCGGCTAAAGCAGGCTAAAGTGGCGGCGTGACGCGGTGGAGGCCCTGGAGGCTGTAGGCGGGAGGCGCGAAGCGGCGAAGCCTTGTTGTAATCGGCAGCACAGCTGGCCAAGTTAAACTTCGCGACATCCAGACGGTGTAGTCGATCGTCAAGCGGCACGCGAAGTTTTCTAGCATTTTACTGCCGAAACGTAATAAAAAGTCTCACGTCTAAAATTTTATGTTTTTGATTTGACTTGTCTACTGCGTCACGGTCACACTTCGGACTGTAAATTTATAAGATCGAATGTGAAAACCTTGTGACGCGGGTCATGCTCGCTGCCGTGGAGATATTATGTCACTTACTTGAATTTTGGCGAAGTAAGTCGGTCCTCCTTTTCCGACTTCATCTCGGCGTGACTGCCCACTTTTCGGTCGCGTTAATAACGGCAGAGAAGGGGAGGGGGGCGTTGCGCCGCCCATTCTCTCTCTTTCTCTCTCTCTCTCTCTCTCTCTCTCTCTCTCTCTCTCTCTCTCTCTCTCTCTCTCTCTCTCTCTCTCTCTCCGTCCTCAGCCCCGATCTCATAATCACCCAAAACGAGGACGGAAAAAACGAAGGCGCTGAATGGCGAGATTAGTGGGGCAATATCGCGATGGCGCTTTGATTCGCCAGCCGGCTTCACCTCAAACGCGGCCTTCTGTTCGGCGTCTCTCCGTCTCTCTCGCACTCACGGGCCCGCCCTTAGGTGTGCGAGAGGGACAGAGCGACTAAACCAGTCGGAGGCCGCGGGCCAGTAAATCGATCCCTGTGTTCATCATTCGTTCGTTTGGGGGAAAGCGAGTTCTCCGGTTTCGACTCGACTTTCCATTCTCCCCGCAAAGACACGCGGTGACACCGTAAGGGAGGCCGGCGCTGCCGCGGGCTGATTCCGAGAGTCGTCGCTCTGTCTCCCTCGCACTCATGGGGCGTGCCGTCTCGGTGCGAGAGAGACAGAGCGACGGCTCTGCTTTGGCTCGGAGGATGAGGCCGGGGATGGCAGCGTGATGAGGCGCTTGAAAGTCACCTTCCCGCCTCTGTGGCGGCGACACGTTGTTGTTGTTTTTTTTGTTGTTGTTTTTGTTGTTGTTTGGTCTGCCTAGGCTGGCCCAGTCCCGCGAGAAATCAGAGCTGGCAGCCACACGTGACCACCAGGTCGAATCACTCTGCTTCATTTTCCTCTTTCGAGTAGAATCAACGAGGCTAGAAGTTGGGTTAGGTGCGGACCCGAGTTTAAAATAGTTGGAGAATTGTTGTAGAGAGCACAAGCAGAGAGTGCAGTCGGTCGGGCGAGCTGCGTACTTAATTCTGCTTATGGTAGGAATGTGGAAATATTCGTCGTGTCGAGCTCTCGTCGCCAACCCGGCGCTGCGCACCCTGTCTGTGAAGTTGGCAGCGCCGGCAATGCCCACGCGCGATTCAGTTAAAAAGTTTCCAACTCGAGTACACCGCCAGAAGCAGACGGATTTTCTTTTTGCTTGGCGGTTGGCACACATGAGCGAAGCGGAAGCACCCGGGCTGGCCCGATGGGCTGGCCCGATGGGCTGGCCCGATGGGCTGGCCCGATGGGCTGGCCCAACCCTGCCGGGCTGCCAGGCTGCAGGGCACTTGCCTGCCGGGGCAACTTTTTCAACTTGCCATCAAAGTTTGATCGAGGTCCTCGCTCGCGCCTCGCGGCATCGGGAACACAGAGCTGGCCGCAAACAACGCTATGTGTTTTCAAGGACGCTAGTCACACTCTAGTTCCATATTCGTCTGGTCGCGACAGGCTGTTTAGGGGCAGCCGAGCGGAACGCGGCCAGAAAGGCCCAGGCCGGGCTCGAGGCTAACTAAATTCCGAATTAGTATCTCTGCAACAAGTTTGTTTCAACTTGCCCTCGGCCTCGGGGTTCCGGGCAAAAGTGGATCTTGCTGAGCTGTTTACACGACATTTCGCCCTCTCTTTTGCCCGCAGAACGACTCAATGAGGCGGACCCACAAGAACCCATGCCCATCAGCCCTTGGACCTCTCGAGTCTCCAAACTGTGCCAGCCTGACCTCGACTACATTGGTAAGGTTCTATTCGCCACGTTTGGTTTTGCGCGGAAGAAGAGAAATGGAACTGATTAATTTTGTTCACAGCACCGGAAGTCCAGCTCCACTCTCAAATATGCATGCAGAGCGACATGTTCTCGCTGGGCATGGTCATAACATCAATCTTCAACCATGGTCGGCCGATAATCCAAGCCAACAACTCGAACACGAGTTACCAGAGACAACTTGATATGGTAAATTTGCCAACGCTTGCTTTTTGTAAATAAATTACTTGGAGCTTCGACCCTTGAAGGAAACTACGGTCGAAAACGGTTTAAATTTGTTTGTTCCTCACAGCTGGATGAGCACGTCAAGATGATCGTAACGGACATCCCCCTGCCGTTGCGGGAGGCCACCATCAGACTGCTGAGCAAGGAGCCCAAGGACAGGCCCACCGCGCAGTTACTCTGCCTCCTAAAGTACTTCACGTACGTCAAAAAAATGCTCGATTTTCATTTTTCCTTAAGTTATCTGTTGATGAACATTGGTTGAACTGCACTTGTTAGCCCGGACTATTTTTACCAAGTTGTTTGCTACTTTTGTTTTTCAGGACCGACAGTGTGGTCTCAACGCTGCAGTTCCTCGACGTGATCCAGATGAAGGACCCTCCACAGAAGAATGCATTCTACAAGCAGACCTTGCGGGACTCCTTGCCCTACATTCCTAGGGTGAGTTACTCACTGTTGTTGTTGTTGCTGGGGCAAGGTCGCGTATCGTATAATGTCACATAAATTCTTTTCAGAAATTATGGTTTCAACATGTCTGGCCTTCCCTGGAGGCAGAAATGAGACAGTCAGAGGTCCTAGCATCAGTTCTGAAACCAATACTGTTAATGATTGAGCACTCTACAATAGAAGAATATGAAAATGTGATACAAGATTCTTTTAGGTGAGCTGCGTTAAGTCTATACTATCACTATGAACTTGTGTGGAAAAGCGGGCTCATCGTTATTTCTGTTTCCTGAAGGACCGTCTTAACGTCACCCAAAACCATTCAAGCTACGGTCTGCCTACTCGAAAATCTACACATCATTCTAGAAAAGACACAAAAGGAAGATGCAAGGATGGAAGTACTGCGGGTCCTGTACAACGCATTCGAAAGCACCACCATACAAGTCCAGGTCCATAGCCACTAATTGACGTGATCGACTTTACAATGTGAAAAGAAATGGTTTTCCGAACTTGTTGTCTCGTTTCTGCCCGCAGTCGGCCGCCCTGTTTTCAGTCACCAACGTGGCAGACTACATCGACGAGCAGGCCATCAGACACATGATCCTTCCGCGGACGCTGTCCGTGTTCGCGCAAAACAGCGCGGACCTCAAGTTCACCATCGCCGTGCTGAGCTGCGTGGAACGCATCCTGGACCGCCTGGACCGCCCCATCATCCTGGACCAAGTGCTGCCTCTCTTGACAGAGGTCAGATTGACCGATCCAGACATCATGTACAGGGTGGTCTGTAAGTAGGGCGAGGTTGCCCGCAACGCGACAGTGAAGAAACGGCGGAGAGTTGTCGACTCCACGCGCGAACCAGTGCTAAAGCGGGAATGGCTGTTGCAGGTATATACGCCGTGCTGCTGAGAGACAAGAAATATGGACTGACTGTGAATCAAATGGCGACGCGGGTGATGCCAGCGCTCCTGCCGCAGACGGTGAACCCATCGCTCAACCTGGAGCAGTTCACCATGCTGCTCCAGGTGCTGCGGGAAATGCTTGATCAAATAGATAGGTGCGCGTCCGCTTCTGTTCCGCCAACAAAATCTGGGTGAGAGAATGCAAATGAAACGAACCCTTCTTTTCCAGGAACCAGCGCAACAAGCTGAAGCTGGACAACATGTCGCTGCCCAGCCCGGAGAGACGGCCGCTCCGCCACCTCTTCTCGTCCGACAACATGCACGTGCCGCCCTTCAACATCCCCAACCTGCGGGTGGAGCAGAGGAAGACGTCGAGCGCGGAGGACATGGCGCGGAAGAACTCGGCGGGTATGGACGCAGAGGCTGGTTGAGGGCACGCAGGAATACTGGAAGTGCATTTTGTCGGTTGTTCGGTGATACATATTCAACTTTTGCCGATTTCAGCAACTCAACCTGCTCAAATGGCAATTTTTACGCATAATAGTTCGTGACACTTTAAAATAATGACGATTCCATCTCAAAGTAACGATATCATCAAAGCTCCTCGCATGGCGTTTCAAGAGTGTCATCTACTGCTTTGAAAATCATCCTTCAACTCGTGACGAATCGGCAACCGAAACTTTGGCAGTGTCCCACGACCTGTTGGCAGACTCCGGCATCCTGGGCGGCTGGTGGTTCGGCGGCGGCTCCTCGTCGCCCGACAGCAACTTCCTGCGCGTGCAGAACGCGCTGCCGATCCGCCGCCTGTCCGACAACACCCTGATGACGCCCAAGATACGCGTGGCGCACTCGTGCTCGTCGTCGCCCGGCGGCTCGCCCGGTGGACTCCCCATCCGACGCCACTCGTCCATCGGGCCGCAGGAGCGGCGCGGATCTACCACCAACCTGTCCCCACCAACGGTAAGGCCAGCCACTCACACAAAGGCACTCGTTATCCGGATCGGCCTCGCCACAGTCCATTCCTAAAGCATTTGCCCTTTTTGGAAACAATCGATCCCGCTGCCCCTTACCTGGGGCAAGAGCCTGATCTCAAACTAAAATTCAAAGATGGAAGGCCGCCGCGCACAAAAACTAATCGGAAAAGTTTTTCCAGCCATGTTGTGTTTTACAGTTTCATCTCAGTTAAAATCGGTAGTGTTTTCAGTTTGCGGCCAGGAAACGATTTAGACATTTTACCTCTGAATCTTGATGCCAGATTTTTCCCGGGACCGTCGGAATAATTTTTCAGTGCAGATGACAGTTTTAAATGTGTTCTTTTTTTTCTTGAATTATTTTGTTCCATTGTATGTCATAGCCACAGTTTCTGAACTCAACATCAAATTTTCGGATTTTTGTGTTTTTATTTTCTTTTACGAAATATCAATGCAAAGTCTTGCATCCAGTTATTTTGTTGATTTTTTTTTAACAGATTGTTTTGAATTACGATTGGTGTTGAGTCGTTTACTGTACCAACCAGCTCCCCACAACCCACACCGAGGCCTGCCCAGGGCTTGGCCCACGGCTTGGCCCAGTGCTCCTCGCTGTCTGTCTGGATGAAAAGGCACCAGGGTGCTCGTAAACCCAATTCAGCCTTCTGCGGTCTGATAAGTGAGATTTTTTTTTACCTCCCACTTTTTTTATACCCATAGAACCATGTTCGTAGATGACAATTTATGTGTTTGTAGTCTTATAGACTGTAGAGAAACAAATACTAAACTTGGGAGTATGTCTTAGTATCGTGTTTCCCATTCGGAGACCGATTTATAAAGCGAGAGGATCTTTTGGTTATCACGTACACAGTCCAGAACACTCTATTAACGCTACAGTGTGCTTCTGGTCAGGCATGTCCTGTCGAGCTGTTTGCGAAGCAATTATTTTGAGAACCACGAACGACGATCTTTCGACACGTTTATACATATAGACTTTTTACGTAGAGTATATTGCTTATGCTGGCACAGCCCAATCCTTCCCTATGAATTTTCACCCAGTTGAAACGGTGTTACAGAAGCAAGGGGTCTGCCCTGGCAGTTCAACAAATAGCAACGAGTGGCCGACGTTCAAGTTGATCACTTTTCCCCTTCCGTGACAATAATTGCTATCTGCTCGGCAAAGTGGAGAGCCGGTTTTCTCTTTGAACGGAAAAGAGTTTCTGGACTGTGATACGTGATGCACTCTTGCATAACCAGGTCAATTCATGTTCAAATGACAGTCATCCGGAACCGCTTAGCTTACTTTTGTGCACGGCTTAAAATCGACGATAATAAACTCTCCCGCTTTCCTCAGGAGCCTACCCTTGGCAGATAATTTCGTTGTAGGCGGGAAGCGAAAGAACGAAATGCACCGCTTTTGCAGGGGATAGAGCTCCATTCAGTTGACTAGGTGGTTCGCAGGCTTTATAAGGAACGGCAGTGGTGTCGAATCAGATCGATCGAATTTCTTTTGGACACACTGTAAGATCCCCCAGGTTGCCTTTCCAGGTGCAGTGGCAGCAAAGCTCGAAGCAAAGCTTGTGTAGTGTCATGGTGTACGGCTGGTGTGGGTGTGGGCTGCGACTCAGGCATGTAGTGCACACTCCGATCTGTCACACACAGGGGGCGGGCTTCTACCACGGCTCGGTCTCGAGGGAGGGCTCAACGCTTTCGGTGCCAGCCGCCTATGTAAGTCCAGCTCTGCTACTCTCCTTTCGCTGCTCTGTCTGGCTGTGCCGGTTGCTCAGTGGTTGTTTGGTCACACGTTGTTGAGTCGTGTTCGTTCGTGTACGGAATGTGTGTATGTTTCTCGTTCCAGCAGGCAAGCCATCACTCTATAATGTGCCCCCCTTAGCAAAACACCCCCCAAACAAGCCCCAATCCCTAAGAAAGATGACCCGTGTAACGCATGATCTTTGCATACACTTAGGCATCCGTTTTCGAACCGTGTTTGGGATAGTGGTCATTGTGGACGTTGTTGGATTAGGCACAAGACCCTTAAATGAATAAGTACCCTTTATTTTACCATTTGAGCTGTATACCCGCACTTGAGATCTTCGCGAAAGGGTTCCTTCTCACGTTTTTCTCGTACACATAGAACTACTGGCTTTAGCGCTAGCATATTTAGACTCTTATAGTGCAAACGTTTCGTAGTCAAATGCACTCGTTAAAAATTATCTTTGTACTCGTTGTATCGAGCTCTGAAAGCACAGTACGGCATTTAAACTGATTTTCTTCCGAAAAATCAAGATTGAAAAAAAAGGATTAGTTGGCCTTTACAATAATATTTAAGTCATTTTTTTTTCTGCTCATCCTAACAGAATTTAAATAGAAAAACTGTGATGGTTCACCACTGAATCCTTTATGTTAAGATCTCGTGTACTAATTCACCTTGGTGAATGTTACGTATAGGCGCACCATTCACCTTGTAGCAAAACAAACTGCCATACAGCACCGTAGAAGTTTCCCAACACAACGAATGGGGTGTTCAAAGCTTGTCTCTCTTGCTTCAATCAAAATTATTGAAAATCTAAGTTCAGTTTATTGCGTAGATTTTTTCAAGTTTGAGCACCCTTCACTCAAACCTCTAACAAAATTCCAATCTTTGCGATCTAACTTTTCCTGTCACTTCAGAGTAAAGGACTTTATCAAATCGGTCCCTGAAAGATCGCAACAATTGGCTTGACAGTCACCTCTCATACCAAGTTGAGAAGCAAAGTGTGTAGTATTTTTTGTGGTTATTGCATGCGCTGCCTATAGACCACTCGGCCTCTGGGTCTGCTTACACCAATCGACGGTCAATCGTTAAAACCAAATTGTGCTACATGTTCCTATAACAGAAGGTAAATTCTAGGTAAAATGTTAATTTTATCCTTACTGTACGCGTTATCTTAACGGTTCGCCCATCAATTTAAAGTGTTTCCTAATTTGAATAGGTTTTGCCTTCCTTAAGAACAGAAAACAAAATTTTCCTCCCAGCCTCCAAAATTAAGGTCGCGAGTAACATAAACACTTCCTAACTATAAATCTACGGACACAGACTTAACATCATAACAAAAAAAATCCACTATGTGACATTTTTATTTACTTGTCCAAACAATCTACTCGTTTTTCGTATGGGCTAAAGTTGGTGACATTCGGACTGAGAGTAGTAGAAGTCTGCCCTCCGTTTAGTAACAAAATATCATGCAATGCCTTAACAGATTTTTACCACCAGTATCCATTCTTTTAACTTAATTTCGTAAAATGTTAATCGTTTTGAACGAGTGGTTGGTTCGGTTTTTCTAAAACTAGGAATCTGCTTTGAGCCCTTGCCGACTCATTTTAATAATCACATTATATACATTGATGTTGGAATCAACCATTCGCTCACACGATGTGTTTGTCGATTAATACCGTATAATTCCTCGATTGATAATTGGTTGGTTGCTGGGGGCGGTGAGGCTCACCAGGCGTGCACGAGCTTAGCACAGCGCCCCGTCGAGCTCTTCTATGTGATTTATGCACAGAGGTGTCCGAGCACCTGCTTAATATGCTATTATTTTATAGACAAGGAGAACAAACTCTACTTCCAACAGGGCATTGCCTTGCTGCAACTTTTAAACTCAACTAAGTCGTACGGTTCTTGGATAATGTCTCTGGATGTGCCGGACGCCTCTGTATGTATGTCCCTAAGAGGGATAGTATGTGATCTGTGTGTGATATTTTTGGTGTGTTTCTTGTGACACTGTCTTTCTTTTTCCTATCTTTGTAATACTCACTTTCCACCTGCCCGGGCCCTCACTGTTCAGCCAAGTCGACTATGGCTATTGCTGCGACAGTGGGCGTCTGTACAGATCAGCACACGTTTCTTTCTTGTGGTTGTCTGCAAGTTTGGGTCCTGACAGAGAACCAAGAATTAATAGAGAATGAATCAGTTTTAATTGTACCGCACGTTGTACTGTTTGATTGCTGCACAACTTGAAGTGATTCTGGTTTCTCTTGTCAGACGCAGTGCCACCCTTCTTCTGTCTGTGTTCTCCAAGAGTAAATGTCCGTGCGTCTGCAGCGATTCTTCATGTTTTCGACATGGTGCATCGTTGTGACAATCATGACATTTATTCGACTTTGCCGATGCGCTTCTGTCCCACTGTTTTGTGGGAACAGTTGTTTATCGAACTTTTGCCTTCTCCTGTTTTCTGTGACTTTCCCTGTCTTTCTTTCCACCTTTCTTTCTATGGCGTGTTGGTGTATCTAATTATGTTTTCCGTGTTGTCTTATCGTGGACCCCGTGATGCCTTGTTGCTTTTTACAAATACGTGTTTTAAGGACATGCAGCTCGATGGCTTAAATGTAACATTTTTTTCAACGGGACGGCACGTAAGATCTCACGGCTTTCCGTTAACGGAACTCTGTATGAGTGTGTCAAATTGCTCACTCCCTGGTACAGAAGCGGAGGTGAATCGCACTCTCCCTTGTGTGCGGATCCGGACATAAAGGGGTTTCGATGCACTGCTATCAAACCTCTAAGTCTTGCCAAATTTGTCATGGTGAAACGCCTCACCTTTAGGAGGCATGAATAAACTGTCTCCATCGCGACGACAGAATGCAAAAACGTTCTTTTGCATCGCCCATACATTGCGAATACCAACCGTATAAAATCCTTTTTCATACTCACCGGATTTTTTCCGGCTCTTGGTTATAATTGTCTAAACGTTACCTGTAGGTCAAAAGTGTCAAATAGACTCCACGGTCATATTTTTGCAACGGGTTTTTCATAAAGTCCTGTCCGGGGGTGAGCTTGAGTGTCTGAGCGCCGAAGTCTGCCTTTGACTCATCGCAGCTTTGTGTTCTGTCTCTCTCTGCAGCTTGCACGGAGCATGATCGTGAGTATCGGCGTTGTGATGCTGTGTTGAAACTAGCCGGCATGACCTCTGCATGACCCTAGTTAGACTTGATTTCTTTCCAAGAGCTTCATTGTGCTTAGCGTTTGCCTTGAGAGTTGTGGCTTTGTATTGTAGATGGCTTGTGCCTGACATAAACCTGTTTTTCACTGTCTCTTCCGGGGTGTCACAACAAAACTGCCAGTCACAAAACGTTCTTGACCACAGTGTTATTGTATTCCCAACGTCAACCTTGAAACTTGAAGTTGTGACTCTTGGTTTCCCCTTCAGTCGTTTCTTTCTCTCTTTCCTTAAGCGTGTTCTTGCTAGGTCGCCCCCGTAAGTTTTCCTCTTTGATACGTAACTCGCACTCCCGCCTGCACACCCGCGAATGAGATGTAGCGATGGCTTGTTTCTGTAACATCCCTCGATCCCCGAGACTGATCCTGTTTCCAACAACCAAGTGGCATGCCAGTCGAGCACGGGAAAATCTACATTTCCCCCTTCTTACGTCACTCCATGCGTAAGATGGGCTTTTCGGCTCCTACCACCCCATGCGTGTTTGGCATCTCTACGCATGTGCTTTACCCACGACCAAACTGACTACCAATCTACTTCGAATCCTCAGAGATGTTTCTTGAGCACTTCAACACTAGATTCTTTTTTTATCTCTATGCACTTCCGTTCGTACTCCCCATGTATGATCCGTCTCTCTTTTTTTTAAAATTCTCCTTTTCAACTTCTTTGTAGGTTATGTTTTTTGCTGGAGCAAACTGGACAAGCATTTATTAAACTAAATGTACTTTGGACTAACTCCTGTGAAAAGAAACAATAGTATGATGTTTGAGTCCAGTTTGCTCGAGCAACAGGCTGACGGGCCACGCGCCACGCCGCCATGCCGTGGCCTGAAAACCGATACCGATGAAAAAAAGCGATAAAAGTAACAAGATCCGACAGAGATTCGGTGATGGACACTGACCACGGTTAAGTGCATCCACTCAGTGTCGTGTTCCTAGCCTGCGGTGGGCGGTGGGGGTCCGATGACGCAGTCAGAGGGCCCCACGCCATGCTGCCCTGAAAGGCCGTGGCTCACTCAGACCGTCAGGGCAAGGAACATCGGATTTTGTTTCTTTTGTTAGGAAAGACGCAGAGCTCATGTTCGAACGACGGTGTTGGTTGTTCAGTGTTTCTTCACCTATCATGTCCAGCGAAGAAGCCAAATTTTCAGCGAATGGCATCACCATTCGTCTTTCGATTTCGCGTCTAGCCTCCTCAGTCAAGTGGAGCGAGGCTAGCGCCTGCCGAGGGACGGATAGGCTAGCCCGCCAGCCGCCTGTGTGCGGCGGGTGGCCTACCTCGCTCTTTGCAGGCGGCAGGGGTTAGTGTTGCCTCATAAGCAAACAATATTTCAACGATTTTTTTGCGTACACGTATGCTCCTACACTGGTCAGCCGTGGCGACCGTTTCCGCACTCCTTTCCAACATGAGCGCTGCTCTAGACTTCGCTGGCCCCTCACCGACTCGTCGCTCCGTCTCTCCCACACTCGTGGGTCGTCTCGCACAGGCGCAGAGACGGGGCGACGAAACGGTGGGCGGGATCGGTCTTCAGGCTGACGTGGGGCCTCCGGGCGCGGGCGTGGCTTGCCGATACTGACGTGCGTCTTGTGTCCGCAGGGCGGCAGCATGCCCAACACCAGCTCCAGCACGCCCTTCCTCAGTTCATCCATGAGCAGCCTGAGGTCCCGCCGGCCGTCGGCCTGCCTAGGCGGCTCTCAGGGCTCAGGCTTGCTCCAGTCGCTAGGCACCGGCATGGTAAGACAACTAACAGGGTCCCCCATGGGGTCGGCCATCGGGTCCCCCATGGGGTCCGGCTCCCCCCAGCATCCCGGCAACGGGCGGGCCGCGCCCTCGCCACCCCATGTAAGGACCATCCTGAAGACCCCTGTCTCTCTCGCACCGCGGCGGGGCCTCGGACGGGGCCGCCCGCGAGTGCGAGGGAGACAGAGCGTGCGACATCGCTCGGCATCGCTCGGCAGTGCGACTGCATTGCGGCACTGCGCCTCCGGCAGGCAAGGGGCGTCGAAGGGTCGGTGGGGTGGACCGCGTAGACACACTGCTGAAGGACGATACGCGGCAAAATGGACCTCTAAAACTGGCCTTTAATACTCAAGGACCTCAGAGTCTTCAATGCGTATTTCCAAACTACAGCTTTGATTAATTTTATTTCCCAAACTCTTCGACGGCCCCTTGCCTACCACATCGCTATGCATGAACACACGCCGCAGTTTGGTTGGCAGTGCACGGCGCAATCTACTCGTCGCTGTTGTTTTCGCGCCAGTCACGATCGCAGCATGCGCAGCTTCTGTTCTCACTTTGTTTTTATTTTTTGGCGGACTCTCACTTTCTGTTTCCCTTGACGGGAACGGCAAAATCCAAGAGCGCAGTAGTAACGTTACATCGTTGAGAGCAAAAAGCATTCTGCGCGGCTACATGTTCAGGAGTGCGTCTACACATAAGTTTATTTAGTTCCCTTATTCGATTCGTTTCTTCAGCGGCTTTTGAAACTTATTGTTTCCGATTCCCGCGCTTTTTAAGTTCTCGCATCTTGCCTTGATACTCTTCAGTGGCACCACATTCGCACGGCCGCTTATCTTACGGCACTCAGTGGGCCAGAAGACCGGTGGAGGTGGCCAAAATTCTGGACGGGTTTTGCGCTCGAAGTCGCTAAATCGAACTTGAAACGAACGTTTGACCGCGCGAATGGATTGCTCTCCGAATGAGGAATCCATTGGTGGGGTCGCACGTTCGATTCGAGTTCTGTTTACTTACTCTGGAGCTAACGCGTCTAGAGTTTTGGCCACCTTCACCGTTCTTCTGGCCCACTGTGCGGCACTCTCACGCTTAGGACTAGCTCAGCTGCCTCTGATTCATTCGATTTGAAGGTGAGTTGTAGCGCACAACTAATGTCAATTGCAGTGTCACTCGACCATTTTGTTCGTTTGCCTTTAAGTATGCCGCTTCGGAATAAACCTCAGTGGCCACAAAAGTTAAGATTTCACACGCATCGTTCTTTTGCCTCACATGCACCGCGCTAATTCAATTCCAGCACACATAGGGCAGAGCTGGGAATACCCCTGGCGACGCGCGGGGTAGGGCAGAGCGTCACTACCCCGCGGTGTGGCGGGCCGTGCGCGCCTCGGGCATGGGGTAGCTGCCTCCGTAGTGCGGCGGCTTTAAGAGCACCGCTTTCAAGTTACAAAACGCCCTGAAATTCCTTCTGCAGCCATTTGGTTGGGCTCGTGAGGGCTCACATAGAACTGAAAGCACCGCATGTCACTAAAACGCAAATAGCTTTAGATTCCTTCGTCGCGTTTTCTACTGCACTGTACTAATGTTTATTTCAGTCTTCACAGGGATGTCAGTGTAGGTGGGTTACAGTTACTGTTTATTTTACCGAGCTTTTCTTACTGCTCAGTTCGCTAGAACTGGCAGTCTGTTATGTTGCCTGAGCATACCGCGCGTTTAGAATAGTGCCATAACGGAGTCTCTCATCAAAAAAAAATTATGAGAGCATCAATTTGACTGTAAACACATCTAATGAATTCATTTCGGGGCTCTACGTTTCGTTTGAGTTAGTGATTGAGTCGGCAGTGCGTGCTCCGCATTTTTTGGCAGGCCATTTAATTCTGTTTGTTTCGTGTTCCAGTACCAACTATTTTCTGGGCGCTAAATCGGACTGCCTCGCAATCATCCGTATATTGCATATAGAATGGTTGCAGTGAACGCAAGAAGCCAAGACCACCGTGGACACCTATTTTTCAAGAATTGGACCATTTTGCTCAGGCGAAGTTGAGTTTCAAAAAGTTACCCAAACGATGTTTAAAAATTGTACAGTACACGTTTAAGCTGTCCTTCTTCCTGTTGTCCAACTTATTTCTTCTTGAGCAACGAGCGGAAATCCATGTGAGGACTGCAAGTGGCGTACTTCATTTATGTTTCCATACTTATCTTGCTGAGAGATACGATTTCTGTTAGGCAAATTTAACTTTTTGAAACAATTCTTTACCATGGTCTTCAAGCTTATTATCGAATTCTGCTGACAAAAAAAATTGTTTGTGCGCTTTGCCTTTCTTCGTATGATATTTTCAAAAATAAATGTATACAAACAAGGATAGCAGTGAATATTGTGCACATTTATACAAAAATAAATTAATTAAATGACAAGAAAAATACATTAAATATGAATCTTACGGTGTTATCAATATGTATATACAGTATCCCACACAAGCGAAATTGTGGTCTCTTTTTTATGTCTAGTTATAATTTTTAGTGTGTATATAATCTCTTGTGATGAGTTAAGTTCTATAGGCGGCACCAGCGTCATGGATTTCTTGTGCAGTGCCCCATTAGTTTCAGTGTTTGTCAGCATATTTCAACTACCAGACCTGTAGGGTAGTCAGAAAAGCTACAACAACGCGTTACCGACGGTACCTTTCAAGTAGTTTTTGGCTTTAATACCCCGGTAGGTGTTCCGTGTTTGAAATAGACTCCCACTACCCCTTTTTCCTCCCTTTTGTGATTCTCGTACGTGTCAATTTTGGTAAACGATGTTTTCTTCCGTGCACAAGTCGTCACTTTGGCGCTCCTGCCGCTTACACTATTCTTACAGTAAAAATGTGTACAAAGGTAGCCGAGGGTCTCTGAGGCGTCGTGCTAACAACACACTAGAGCGAAAACTAGGGTAGTGTTAGTAGAATGTGTGGTCTTGGGGTACTCCACTGGAGGCGTTATGGACATCGTCTCGTTTTGACGCTCTGGAATTATTATTTTTGTGTAATTTGTAAATCTTCTTTTACAAACATACAGGTGCGCTGTCGTGAAGATGAGGGTTCAGTGATCTTGATTTTGGTAATTTCTTCGACCTGTAAGTGCCAGAAGAAAAGCGGACGATGGCCGGCAACCATTCATGACGCCTCCAATTGCTTTCGTAATATTAGTAGGAGTTCCGTCCGACATCTCATGTGATAATCTTTCAATAATCAAAAGTCAAATATACCACATGTAGCGTTTGTCTATCGTTCTGGTGTGTTCATGAACTGTTAAAATGCCCTGCCTTCTAAGATTTGCTCTTAGTGCTGCGCAAGTTTTGTGTTGAAGTATCTTCTTACATATTCCATGTGCGTGTACTTACTCTGTGTATTCTGACCTTTATTCTACTATATTTGTACTTGGTACTTTAGGTTGACAATCATGTGTGCTGTGCCTTCTTGTTATGTCTGTGACTATACCCATCCCCTTTCGACAATACCTTCCTATAAGTCCAGCAATAAGTTACTTTCTGTGGATTGAAGAATTACAAGAAATACCTCTCCAGAAAATGAAATTCAAATTTTCGAAACAACCATTCCACTAACTTTGGAGGATGAACTTGAGAGTGATAAATGCTATCTCATCCACAGGTGTGGCCTCTCTAAACTGTTCTTATCCCGATTGGGTGACTTCTTGTGTGGCTAGACACTTTTTCCATCTTTTCATGCTAACTGCGACTTTTGTACATTTACTTACACTTTTAAAGATTCCTCTGTCTTCCCCTTTGTGCTTCTTTGTCTTCCCTCCTCGTCAGTTTTCAATCATTATATAGATCGATAGTTCCAGCTAAACAAAAGTATAGGAATGTGTTTATGCGATAAATCTCCTTTAGGTAAGTTTCCATGAATTCATCATGAGCGTTGCAATAACAACACTGTGTTGTTCGGCGCACATTGTTTGTATCGTGTGAGAATTTGGTGTACAAATTAATGATTGTAGCTATATGTACAGTTTTAGTTTTCCATACTACAATTTACTATCCCGAATTATTTTTAACGTCAGCTATCACCGTGTCATTCGTTATCATTATGTAGCCTGAGGCCTCGAAAATGTTTTTATTTATTTGATGTGACGGCACTGAGTCATTGCCGGAATACTTCCTAGCTAGACTGAACACTTCGATTGACCTCTTTAAAATTCTATGAAATTTTTTCAAAGTTTATTTTTCTTAAGACTAGATTTTTCTGATAGTTTGTCACAAGTGAAAACTGTACATTTTCTATTTAAGGCTATGTACTTTTCAATTTCTCTCAGTCAGAACTTCTGAAACAGACAATCATTGAATCTCAGAACAAAAATGATGCGTGTTTCTCTAGTTGTCTTTGGCTTTGTGGGTCATTATTGGCACGGGAAAGACCCACCTCTTCCAAAAGTATTTTCAGATAACTACGAAGTTTGTATCCTATTCTCTGTACTATCATTTATTTGCGAAACAATTTCTGATTTGTCATTTCCGTTAAAGGCGTGGACTCGCATGTGTAAAGAAATACGCTTGTATTTTGTATTAAGGAATATAGGATGGAAGAATGTTGACGCGATATTTTGTTACTTTCTTGTTACCTTCTGTTCCGCGAGGTGACACCACTGTCGAGTTGGCTCCACTTGAAGTTTCTCACGAGGCAGAGAGAACCCCTGGACAAGAAGGCTTAAATAAAAATCAAGTGACCCTTGGCCAGAGGTTCTCTTCATACTATCAATGCCAAGAGACAGCAGCAATGAGTGCATATGTATTACATAAGGTCGCACTGTGTTGAGGAACTTTCCTGTGTTGCTTAATCTTGTTTCGAGTCACTAAGGTTAATTATTTAAATGAATTATTTTTGGTGAGTAGCAACTAGAGGAGCAGTTAGAGTTCTTTCCGGGTGATACATATGCAACTCTGTGAGAAAATGACTTGCCTGAGAGAAGACCGGTCTACATCGGCCACTGTGGGAATGAAGGAGCTGCTCTCTGCAGTAGCGATTGTTTTCCTTGCTCAATGTGTTGTGCGGTGGTATCTTGGCTGGCCAAATCCACGCATAGCAATAACTTCTCTGGCGGTTGCATTTGTTTCATTTTGTGTTTCGTTTCAGGCCTAATTTTTTTTTCACACTTAGTAAGAAAATATTGTATAATGTTATCCATGACCTAGTTGTGCTCTGAGAGCGTTTAGCTTCGCCGTTTTCAGCAAGCTACCAACTCTCACCTCTTCTTCGAGTTTCTCGACAAATAAAAGAAAGTTTTGCAAAAGGACAATCTCTTGACTTAGTTTAGCGGTCAACGGTGAGCTGTGGAAGCCGCCCGCGACGTCATACTCGGTAGAACTCGTGTAACTCTTGACTGTTTATTTTTGGTCGTTTAGCATTTATCAACAAAAAATTATGTTTGTAATTTACACTTTTGTCAAATGCAAAGACGCATACACTTCAAATTAAATGTATTCGTGCAATGTTTTCGGGACAGGTCATCTAGGGATGGGAGGCGGGGGCAAAGGGATCCTGACCTTCTGGTGAAGAAGTCAATATTGAAGAGGGACTTGTTGTCGATACGCGTGAAAACCTCTCCCGCTTGCTGACCTTGTTCAAACTTGTGTTGCATTCCTTGGCGAGCACCGCGTCGCTAGGCCCCGTAGAGATCGCCAATCAGTTCAAAACATATTAAATTGTATTTTAGGCTGCTCTTAAAATTGACCTTTCTGAATTTTTCATCTCATATCAACTTTAGTGATTTCATATTGAGCTCTTAGACAGTTGGCATCGTAAGGCATGTCTGTGTTCTATCTACATCTATGATCTATGACTTAACTCTCGAGACATGTGGTCGTTGTAAGATATATTTTCATAAATAAACGTCGTTGTTGTAACCAGACATGGTGTTTTATTCGTTGAGCCCAGAAATGTTCGCAGCAGCGTCTTCAATCCTTGGGTTAATGTGGTTGTTTGACAGCAAAAAAAGAGTCAGAAAGTCATAAAGGCTGAGCCCTAGAAATCAAGACGTATCTCTATCTCATAATTGGAAACCAAACTAAAATACAAAAACCGCCGTGGCCGCCTCGTTTGATTAAAGAACAGTCTTGAGGCACCTCGCAAGGCACCATGCGTCATTGTGCTGACCGAGTTACGGCGTTCCGATGACGACTGACGTGAATACGAAGAAGTAGTTCCCCTCCACCTCGCTCCAATGCCGCCTCCACTGCAGTCCGATTCCGAACGGCTTCCGACGTCGCGCTGTCTCGCTCGCACTCGCAGGGCGTCCCCCTCGGGCCGCCGCCGCGGTGCGAGAGAGACAGCGCGACGTGCTCGGAGTCCGCCGGCTGGCGATGCAGGCTGCCCAGCAATATCCCGCCGGAATGTCGCAGGAATTCCTTCCCGAGGGCGGCATGCCGACACACCGTGGGTGGGGCACGGCCCGGCGCGGTGGGCGGGGACGCCCGGTCCGCAAATTGAGTTCAAGCCGCACCACCAGCGCACAGTGGGCTAGAGGACCGGCGCGGCGCTGGCGGCCAGAACTCCAGACGCGGTTTGAGCTCCAGAGTCGCTAAACAGGACTCGAACTGAACGTGTGACCCTATACATTTCTCGTTCGGAGAGCAATCCATTGGTGGGGTCACACGGTGGGGTTAACTTTTTTTTGCCCCTATACTGATGCTGAAAGAGAAATGATAACTACATTTAAATTATGGATGGCGAATGTCGTAACTTGGGCGTAACGCGAGGGGAAACAACTATCACATTCATTGAACAACATTTGAACACATTCCCACATTCTGGAGGGAAAACCGCCTGTGAGTAGGCAACACGTGTGACAATAGCAGAAATCTTGCACATTCCAACACATTTGTACACAAAATCTTACAGTGGGTCACCCCTCGGCGTAACACTTGTGTGTAGGGCTTTTTTTTTGTCAGAAGACGATGGCCATCCTCACTCGAATATTGTCCCCCTCACGTCGGACTGCACTGTCATGAAAGCCGCCCCCCCCCCCCCTCGCGCCATCCCCGGCACACCCCTTCCACCCAGCGGCGCTCCGCTCAGCACTGCCTCAGCGTTCCAGTCTGCGCCGCTCCGCGTCACAGATGACAGCCGTGTTCCCGCCGCTCCCAGAACCAGGTGAGTGTCACGGCAGCGGCCCCCGTCTCAAGAGCCACGCCGTGGAACCTGTGGAGCTGGGAAGGCGATGATGACAGCAACGCAGCTTCAGTGAATGTCTGGTGTCTTCCCCTTGATGTCCCTCTCATCGCCGTCCTCCCGTCTTCCGACTTAGCAGAGCCGTTCCAGGAACATGACGTCACATTCCAGCAACATTCCTGGAATGGCAGTGTAGCCGCACCTCTGCCGCCTGTCAAGCCCTCGATTTTCCAGGTTGACGGCGTGGCGGTCACCATGGGTCTCCTGGGCCGCCTGCTGTGGACCCTAGGCACGGCCTGTGTGGTGACGGTCGGCGCGACGGGGGCGGCGGACCAGCAGGTGAGTCCGAAGTCACTAGGCACTACACGCGTGCGGAGCGCGGCGAAGCGCGGCGAAGCGCCCGATCAAGTCGGGATAGGCAACGCGCTCTACGCGCGTGCGGAGCGCGGCGAAGCGCCCGATCAAGTCGGGATAGGCAACGCGCTCTACGCGCGTGCGGAGCGCGGCGAAGCGCCCGATCAAGTCGGGATAGGCAACGCGCTCTACGCGCGTGCGGAGCGCGGCGAAGCGCCCGATCAAGGTGGTTCCCGTGCCGCGGGACGCCGGTAGGCAACGCGCTCTACGCGCGTGCGGAGCGCGGCGAAGCGCCCGATCAAGTCGGGATAGGCAACGCGCTCTACGCGCGTGCGGAGCGCACGGCCCGCCCTGCGTGCCGCAGGCGCTAGCAGGGGAGGCAACGCGCTCCACGCGAAGAAAGCCGACCCCGTGACCACCGCTGTGCCGCGCTCTGCGCTCCGCAGGTGTTCTCCGTGCCGCTGGACGCGTCCGGGTCCTGCACCATGTTCTGGCGCGTGGACTACGCGCGGCGCACGCTGCAGGTGGAGATACACGCCGTGCTGCCGGAGCGCGCCTGGTTCGCCGTCGGCTTCTCGGACTACGGCGAGCCCAGCCCCGCCGACTACTGCGTGCTGTGGCAGGACTGGCGCGGCCGCACGCGGCTCCAGGACTCGTGGGCCGAGGGCGGCCGCCTGCGCGTCGAGGGCCGGCAGCACTGCAAGGACTTCCGCCACACGCGCGTCGGCAACGTCACCAAGTTCACCTACAGCCGCCTGTTCGACACGTGTGACCCGCACGACTACGTCATCGAGGTAGGCCGCTTAAACCGTTAAAGTGCGCTGTTGCTTTTGTATTGTTGACGAAATACCAACGCTTGCCTGCTCAGGACGGCACGACGCACGTGGTGTGGGCGACGGGCGCGGGTCCACTGTTCCGCCTGGACGGCGTGTCGCTGCTGGGCGAGGGCACGCGGCGCGGCATGCAGCGCGCCCAGCTGCTCAAGAACACCAACGTGGACGAGGGCGTGCCGGCCGACGCCTGGACGCTGGACGTGCGCGCCGCGCGGGTGCAGGTGCCCGCCGTGGACACGACGTACTGGTGCCACGTCGCCAAGGTGCCCCGCCAGCTCGCCCGCAAGCACCACGTCGTCAAGGTAGGCTGGGCCTTCTGCCGTCCGGGCCAAACGGCGTCAAAACTTGTCTTCATTTTCCCCAAATCCTCGTAATTTTTTTTCTTAAGGCCTTGTTTTTTAGTTTTTGTAATTTTTTCTGTTGTTTTTTTCTTTAATTTTTTGTTTATTTCTGTAAGTTTTTTAAAGTGTAATATCGGTGTACACTCTCTGGGGTAGTTGTTTCCCCCTCGACGTTTGCGCTCTCTGTGTGGCGGCGTGTTCGGCCACTTCAAAAAAACAAAGTGTCTCGTTGTTGTTGAAGTACGAGGCGACGGTGCAGCACGGCAACGAGGGCCTGGTGCACCACATGGAGGTGTTCCACTGCGAGGCCCCCGTCAAGGAGCAGGTGCCGCTGTACCGCGGGCCCTGCTTCGCCGCGACGCGCCCCGACGCCACCAAGGTGTGCAAGCGCGTGCTGGCGGCCTGGGCCATGGGCGCCAAGCCCTTCGTTTACCCCAAGGTGAGTTCCCCTCCCCTTTGTCGATTGCGCCTTTGAGGGCGTCGTCCTCTGACCAACCTGTTTCTCGGCCTCGTGACACAGGAAGCCGGACTGCCGATCGGAGGGGCGGAGTTCAACCCGTACATCATGCTGGAGGTGCACTACAACAACCCGGAAAACAAATCAGGTAGGTCAGGGGCTTTGTTCCAGGTTCCAACATTTTCGACCCCATTTCGTTAATTCGGGTGGATTGCTAGACTGGGTCGACAGCTCTGGCATCCGTCTGACGCTGAGCCCCACCCTGCGTCCGCACGACGGCGGCGTCATGGAGCTCGGCCTGGAGTACACGGACAAGATGGCCATCCCGCCCGGACAGCCGCGGTTCCAGCTCACCGGCTTCTGCATCGCCGAGTGCACTGAGGTGGTGAGTAATGGAACACTCATGAAACGTTCTCTTTGACACTGAGTGACATGACGTCGCGATGCGTTATTTTTATTGTTGTTGCCCTGTTTTGAGGCTGAGCCCTTCCCGTTGCAGGGTATCCCCGTCGGCGGCGTCCGCGTGTTCGGGTCGCAGCTCCACACGCACTTGACCGGCGTGCGCGTCGTCACGAAGCACGTCCGCGGCGGCAGGGAGCTGCCGGAGCTCAACCGCGACAACCACTACAGCACGCACTTCCAGGAGATACGCCGCCTCAAGCGCCACGTCCAAGTTCTGCCGGTGCGTATTGCTACAAAAGGTTTGGTTATGTGAGGTTAGATGAGGTTATATGAGGTTAGGCGGGGTTAGGTGAGGTTATGTGAGGTTATGTGAGGTTACGTGAGGTTACGCAGGCTCTTGACCGCTTCCTCCCTTCCAGGGCGACGCGCTCATCACGACGTGCACCTACGACTCGCGGCCGCGCCCCAACGTGACGCTGGGCGGGCACGCCATCACCGACGAGATGTGCGTCAACTACATCCACTACTTCCCCAAGGTGGACCTGGAGGTGTGCAAGAGCTCCGTCAGCGACGCCAGCCTGCAGGCCTACTTCCGGCTGCTCCACGAGTGAGTAGGCAGTCCGCTTGCCTTCTCACGATGCACAAGTGCCGAAGGGGTTGCCAACCTGAGCCTGCCTTCTAAGCTACTTCTCGAGGGCCAGGCCACGATGTTGCCTGCGTCCGGAGTTTGGCGTTCCCTTTCGACACTCTTGCGTCGTGGGAATGTTTCACCCCTCTCACCGGTGCTGTGTGCTCACAGGTTGGACGGGCAGGCGACAGGCCCGCACCTCGGCGTGTCCGACAACTACAAGACCGTGGACTGGACGCCGGTGCGCGCGCACGTGCTGTCCTCCCTGTACGCCGAGTCCCCGCTGGCCATGCAGTGCAACAGGTCCAGCGGGGCGCGCTTCCCGGGGGACTGGTCGGCCATGCCCAGCACCAGCATCCTGCAGCCCCTGCCCGCGCCCGGCCGCCACTGCGCCAACCTGCACCACCAGGACCACGACCACGACCACGACCTCGACGATGACGCCGGCCCGGAGCACCCCGACGCAGGCGGCCTGATGGAGGACTGGGGCCAGGGGGACACCATGAAGTGGGAGACCAACGGCCCCAACTGATGGCCCTGACGGCGGGGGGGTTGCCTGCCTCGCCTGTCTGCAGGGGCGGAGGGTCAGCGCCAAGTAGCCAGAACAACATCGTTTTTTGAAGCAATTTTGATCGAAAGCAGTCACCTTGCTATCAAAATGACGTCACTGCGAGTACTTCGTCGTCTGTGGGGGGTCAGATAGCTGCTGGTTCTTTTTCTTTACCTTGCATATTTGATTCAAAATGTTTCCTCGCGTGTTGATTGTTTCGTTGACTGGCATAGCATGTAAGGAAGCACTCCTTGTTTTATTGCTGTTACAAGCGGCTCAGTGGGCATCTCAAAACATTGTACCATATAACGGCTTTGCTTGGGTAATAATAAGCAACAGGCATAGGACTTTTAAAATATTTACTAGTGATGTCTGTTTCATTAACTTACGGCTGAATCCTGTTTATTTTTCTGTCACCGTGTACTCTTTCTAGCTTCAGCAGAATATTGGATAAAAGCATGTATTAAAGTAATATGTTGAAAATTCCCTTGATTGTTTTAAATGTTACAGCCATAACATTTAGGCACAGCCAAAGGAAATATAGTATGCTAAAAATTGTCATTTGTAGTGCTTTGAAAGTTCAAAATAAAATAATTGATTATTTTGAAAACATATTTGTTGTGATGTGATTAAGTATGTACTTGGGTACATTCGCTTACAGAATATTTGCAGGTTTCTTTAATTCAAAATAAAAAAAAAATGAAGAAAAAAGTTTACTGTCTGAATTTATTTGAATTTATTTGTAAATTGCCAAAAGCAGCTTCCCATCTCCATGTTTCACAAGCCATTCAGGAATTTTCTGTAGAACATTAAACTCAGGTGCAGCAAGGCCAATTTTAACACCTTCCGATTGCATTTCTCTTAGAGGAGTGGTAATTCTGCTTGTACTTTTCTTATCCACAATTACAAAGTGAGCATCTTTCAAATGACATTTAAGTTCTTGAACAGTTTTAAAGGAATGGTCTCCACATTTCTGACAGCAAGATTCAGGGAATGCCTTGTGGTCCTCTTTCATATGACATCTCCAGGTATTTTCCTCAGTGAAGGATAAATGGCACTCATCACAGTTTAGAGTCTTAATGGTCTCTTCAACTTCTTCACTTTCACTTGTAACGTGGACACAAAATTCATGCAAATCTTCTCCATGCGCACAAGATAGATGCTCCTTGAAACTAGGCTGGTCGTTGAACTGCAAATCACATAGCGTACACTGCACAAGCAGTTCATCAGATCCAATTTGTCTTTCAGTTATTACGATAGCATGGTGGTAGTTTGACATATGTCCAGAACAACTGTTGTCATCAGGAAATTTCATGGCACAAAACTGGCAAGAAACCACACCAGGTTGATTGTCTTCTAGAAGCTGTGAATGTCTACGACGTATGTGGCGGTTAACAGCACTGATTCTTGTGTACGTTTTATCGCAAATTGGGCACGCTTCTCTTTTATGCTCTGCATCATCTTTGAACAACGGTACTCGAATTTGACTAGCCACATTTACAGAATGATGCTTACGTGCATGCCTGTACAAATTTCTCTGGTTGGAGAAAGTTTTAGAGCAAATGCGACAATTTGAGGGGCTGTCTCTATGAGCTGTATCTGTCAGCTTCATCTCCTTCACTTGTATATGATGAGCAATATCAACATGTTTAATGCACGGCAGTTTAGTACCAAATTGTTTCTTGCAAATACAGCATACATATCGGAGAGATTTTGTCCTGGTTATAACACGTTTGCCTTCAGCATCAACTAAGTCTTTGAAGTAAAATGGAATAACCTCAACAGGTTTAGCGGGTTCGACAGGGTCCTCAGCTGCTGCTGTTGCCATTGAAAACCTGTAACACGACACGAGAAATAGAATACGCTTGTTGGAAAGAGAATGGATGATATGAAAGAAACATCTTCACAAAAACATTATGAGCTCCAAATCAGTGAAAATACCTTACCGGCTTCTTGCTACAAACCAGGCACAAACGAAGTAAACAAACACAGCGCTAGCAGACGCTTTTGGGGATTACGAGGGCAAAACAAGTGTCGCTCTGTCGCTCATCCACCGTAGTTGTTTGTACGGGACAGGAAAAAGTTGTTCAACACAGATTTTCTAGTAATTCAAATTTGAAGTATGTTGTAATTGTGTTTTATCATGTCTTCAACTCATAGGACCGTGTGGCCTAATGGATAAGGCGTCGGACTTCGGATCCGAAGATTGCAGGTTCGAGTCCTGTCACGGTCGAGATCTGCTTTTCTTCATTCCGTCTTTATTCATTATCATTTTTTCTTTCATGTTCTCTCAACAGTTCGAGGTTTTGAGGCATTCTGCTTCAGTTTCACCCATGTTTTTTTTTTCTCCTCCCAACCTTACAAAAGTAAGTGCAACCGTGCAACCGTGCAGCAGTGCAACCCAACGTCGTCTGCTGCAGAGCTGGCGTCGTCTGCTGTTTGCTCCCTTGATGCGTAGGTTTGACTATAATAATGCAATCGGATCGTTCAAAGCCTTCATTTTCTTGTGAGAGACTAGAAATTACATGCAATCATCTATTCAACAGTCAATCATGACAAAAAGTCGAGTGCATGTTGTGATTATTGGGTTTCGTTTCGGTTTTGTTGAGAGGTTAGGAAATGCACACAATAAGCTTGTCCCTCGTTTTTCTGCTCTAAAATTTTTATTTTTGGTCTGCAGGTTCAAGAGAATTTCAATGAAGGTGAATGTGACTAACTTAACTCCAAGGTGAAGTTCAACCGCAATTTAAAATTCTAGCGAAAGCTGCTCACAATGGGAGAGTTTGCTGCAGATATCGTTCTGAAAACTGAGGAAAGGCCACCTCATGGACTAGTTTCTTCCCAAGCTAATTTATTCACGGAGCTCTGGAATGGTCGCTCTATTGCTCTGCCAACTCACTCATGGGCTTTGCATCGTGTTGAGAAAACAACAGTTGGTCCTTTAGTTGTCATCAACGAAATGATGGCAAATGGACATGGAATACCTTTTCCTCTGAAACAACTTGTGATAAGCAGCTCTGGTAATATGATGGCTCTAGTACTGAATCAGATAATTGATGTAAGCATAATCTCGTCTGTTATGCCGCTTCAAACCATTGAAGACTTGCAGGAGGCTTTAAAATATTTCGACCAAATAGATTGCGAGTATGTATATGTTGAATCAGTATGAATGTCTTGCTTGAAGTGCTATCATATCTTCAAGAGTTGAGTGAAACTTAAAAACAAATCAAGAAACCAACTACATTAATTTTTTTGTGTTCAGTGACTATTTCCTGTAAATGGCTTTCAACAAAAAAATTCTACTAAAGAATGATCTTGTTGAGAGGCTGCAACAACACTATATAGTCTGATATTAGTATAAGAATGCGATAAGGCCTTATAGTTTAAAGACCATGTGTCTATTTTAGTGTATATGAAATGCTGTATAATAATAATAATAACAATAGTAATAATAATAATAATAATAACGGATGCAAGTCAGTCGTGTGTTACAAATATTGATATTTACTTAGTTGACGAAAAGTTCTTTATTTTCAGCTTTTCTATCAAGAGAACAAGGTTGCTCATTTCTTATTTCTAATACTTAATGACCCAACTGCCAACCTGCAGATCTGTCTAGCCATTGTTGTTTAAAGGAAAAGTTGATGCTCCTAGTCTTTCGGTGCCATAATCTTGCTTTCATGCTGATGTCCTAGACTGTGATAACTTAGTTACTTTTTTTCATTCCACCTTAATGTTTAGGTTTCTTCAAGGCTGTTATTTCCTATCATCACCTTCAAAACAGTTCTTTTTAATCATCTTGAAGGAGGTAATACCGTAGTGTTACGTCATTACCAAAATTTAGATAGTAACTACTGTATCTCACTACATTTGTCAGTTTGGGCACTGGCTTTATGTTAATTGTTAAAGCTTTGTCTGAGAAAGGAAGTGTCCTGGAAGATACTTATACATAAGCCTCATGCCAACATTGCTGTATAACTGCCTATCAATTTATTTATAAAATGTAGATTTTAAAAACTGTTACAGAAATGTGAACTGAAATAAAGAGACAGTCACTAATTTTATCACAACTTATTACTATACAGTATTTCTCTAGAACACAAAATCATTGAAGGAAGTTAAATGATTAAGTAAGTAAACAATATAGGCAAAATTTAGCCTTGACAAACATGAAACACTTACAGTTTCCACATTAATTTGATAGTAAATTATCAGATGAAGACACATGAAGCTCACTGTGTTCTTGCAGAGATTCTGGAGTTAAATTTCTCTTGCAGCAGAATTCACATACATAACGGTTTGGACAATGTCTGGGTCCAGGTTGACAGCTGAAGTAAAAAGTCCTGTTACCAACTCTTCTCATTTGCCTGACTACAAGGGATCGAGGTGGATCATCAGGCTGCAACTGGGCTTGACTTCCAACGTATTCAAGAGCATCAGGAGAGATAGGTCTTAATTGAGATGCAGGCTTATCATTGTCAGACCCTATTACTTTACTACTAAGGACTTGGACTCTCTGCCCTGAAGGTGCTAGGGTTGCTGAAGAGTTAGGGTTCTGAATTATCTTGATGATTCTTCCATCCGACAGCTTCAGAAACTTTTGTCCAGACTTTGCGGCATCAAGATTAATACCTTTCACAACTTGTCCTGATAAAACAAGTCTCCTCACTGCAGGCTTCGTTGGTGAGAGACTACCACTTGGTGGGGAACTACCAGTAATTAGAACATCAGGTTGATAAGATTCTAAACTTCTCGCAGTTTGGTTGGCTTTTGCTCTCTCTTCTAAAGTCTGATTAATGCTTTCTGCAGAAATGATACGCACTTTAGGTTTAAATGTATTATTGTGGCTGTCAGACGCCACTTCTTTTTTAGTGTTGCACCCAGTAGATGCTGCTGTATCAGATGATGCCTTGGCAAGGTTATTGGCAGGTGATGAATGTGTATTGTCACCTTCCGAAGTCTCTGGAGTTTTGTTGTGAGGGGTGGATGATGTGACAAGTAAGTCATTCACATCACCTTCAACTACTTCAGTAAGAAAATTCTGATAACTTCTGGTGACCCTCTTAGGTCTCCCTCTTTTTGCTTTCTTCTTATTATTATTTGAACTATCGGTCTTTTCTTGTGGACTTCCACTATTACTTTTGTTTGAGCGAAGCTGCCTTTCTGAGTCAAGCGTCTCCAAGCAAACAACAGGAGTCAATAGATCATCAATTGAACAGTCAGAATCACCTCTATCAGTTACTTGAACTGAAGATGAATTCTGAGGTGAAGATGACTCTTTTCCACGGTCTTCATGAGTCTTCAAATGTTCCACTAGCTCCCTAAAATCCATCCCACTTTTGTTGCAGACTGAACAACACAGAGATTCTCTGAGAAGAGAGAAATAAGAGACAGAAGGAAAAAACAAGGTTAATAATGGTGAGACAATAATGGTGGCAATATGAAACCAATGAATCACACATACTGAACTCGTGCTGAGGATCTCTTGCGCTTCCTTAGTTGGACAGGTTGTTGAGTTTCTTCCTTTTCCTAGTTAAAGTTAAGATCACATATCAATGCAGAATAAAATTGAGAAAATTGCCACATAAACTACTTAATTGATACAATGGGCACAAGATTGAACTGACACAGGCACAAAATGACTTAACCAAAGTTACCTTCATGCTAACTTCTTGTGATTGCCGTTCTCGCCATAGAAGTGCTCGTAGCTTCTTATCTGCAGCAACAGCCACTAGGATAGCAGCATCCCACTGCATCAGCAAGTTGGTACACTCATAACATAGTTGAAGGGGGATGGAATCACTCTCCGAAACCTAGAAGTTCATAAAACTTGAGTTCTTAGAACAAAAACTATCATTCAGTAAGAAAAGAAATTATGAAAAGAAATACCTTGAGTGGCAAATAGTTGTTGAACTTGATGGCCAGTTCATTTTCTGTCCCTACAGGACCAAATATGGGAACTGACTTAGTGCAAGGTGTAGCACACATGCGACACAAATGATGAAGCTTCACAGGGTTGTCATTTACAATAAACTGAGGAGTATCCATGGCTGAAGGTGGAAGGAAAATCTGTAACCAGAGACAGACTACAATTAATTTCCCAGTTAACAGTCACAAGAAAATGGCTACATTCAGAAAAACACAATAAAGGAAACAAAAGTGTTGGATCAAGTTATTGAATTTAGAGTTCCACCTTTGACTTCCCTCCTCTATTCAGAGCTTTTATTCAAAACTCCGAAAAAATCACTCTCCTAAGTACAGATACACGATCGAACTTCAGTTTAAAGTTGGATGTTTCAACGAAATGATGATCGCACTACGCCTAACAAATAATGAGAGGAGCAAGTCAGAGGTTATACCGAAGTTTACCCAAGATACGAAGCATAGGTTAGTTTTATACAGATGCCGGGAAACTCACCCTGTGTTGCAAGGATTTTTTAATTCATGTAAGCCATCGGATACACAGTTTTCGAACGAAGGACCTAGGAAATGATTGAAACAAGACACCAACAAATGTGTTCTCTTGAGGGAAGGGTTGACCAATGAAAACAAGCAGACAAGAAAAACAACAGAAGGTGCCGCGACCCGTGTGGCGCCGGCAGTTCGCCCAGCTGGTTCGCCTTGCGCTTTCAGATTATATTTGCCAGATCTGTTTCGGATTATTGTCGATTGAGAAATTATAAAGAACGTTCGCAAAGGTGAAACTGATGAACAATATTATCAAACAACACTGTCAAGCAAGAAGTCGGCACATTTCATAGACAACCTATTCGCACGTCAAAGGATACGCCTACCCTGCCAATAGTAAATGGGTGCGGCGGGCGGCTTTGACTTGACCGTAATCTAGAACCCTAGTGGATGTCAGGGTAAAGCAGGGTGAAGTGGAGAAAAACAACAACAAAATATTGTTCTTCTACTAGATCAAATTTTATTTTTTAGAGAAAGGGTAATTTGTTTTAAACCATTCTTTAACTAGATTCATATTTGCCCTTCCCTCCGATTTCTTCCAAACTTTGGTTTCTAGAACCTTGGTGGAGTCTTTCTTTCCTGCGAGATGTTTTTTCAACATATTGGCGTTTTCTTGTGTTACGGAACGACACAGCCGTTCAATGATAGCCGGGTCACAAATTAGTGATAAATTATTTTTCTCCATGACCTGCAACAAATTTAAAACATGAGGACGACAAGTGATACAATGCTTAAAGACAAAAGACTCTCCGCCACAAACCTCTTTAGCTGACAAGGCAGGGGATTGAGAAAGTTCTTTGAGAATTATCCTAGCAATACTTTTACTAATGACTCCGTCCTTCATCATGTCTGTAATTGTCCCCATATCATCAGCTTTAAACACCCTAGATTGACAAAAAAATGAAATAGAAATTATTTCACTACATAAAAATCTATAGGAGCAGTAGCACTGTCATAGGATACACTACTTACACATTACAGCTGTCATCCTCATTAAAATAGCTTAACACATCATTTAGGAGCAGATCTGTGAGTATCACAGCATCTCTGTCCTGCTTCATATTCATAGCATTAAAAAAAAGTGGAAGCAACATATCTTCACTCTGAAATAAATATTAGTGATGAGTTCATTGAGAAAACTCAAAAGAAAAAGTATTTATTACTATTTAAATTAAATGCAAAGTTGCACTTACAACTAAACGGACTGCTTGCAAAAGAGATAAGCCATAATCTTTCTGAAATCTAACACGCATTTGGAATGGAGACTCAGGAACCTTATTTATAAGCTGGGTTACATCAACCATATTAGAGTGCATTGGCTGGTCATTTGTCAAACGCAAATGCAAAGGTGGTAAGTTAGGTTCTGGCATGTACCTATAATCCTATCAGAAAAAAACATTTCATAAAACAAATTCAACAATAATAAATGAGGAAGTAACACAAGCAGAATTCTGTTACAAACTTGTTTCTCTTCTTTGTCTCTCATTGGTACAGTTCTCATACGTTCTGCATCCCAAGATCTTGTTTCATTCACAACCTCTTTGCCACATTGAAGTACTCTGATCTGTCGGTCAATCTCATAGTCAACTGCATTGGCAACAGCCCGAATTGCACCAATATTTTTAATTTCTGTCCGTGTTCCTAAAGGACTATTTCTTCTGTGGACAGAAACATTGGCATCCACTCTAAGAGCACCCTCTAGAAGAAGAAAAAGCAATTTCACACAGACAATTCTTAAGAAATAGGAATGAGAGAAGACCTCTATTAATTACCTTCCATTTTGCAAGAGCATGTACCCAATCTAGTCAAAACTAAAATAAGTTCTTTGACAAGAGCTGCAGCCTCTTCACCATCTGACAGGTCAGGCTTAAAAACAAGTTCCATCAGAGGAAGCCCTGCTCGGTTTAAATCAACAAGACTCCTGAATATGAAACACAAAAAATCTCTCATTTTGATAAGAGTAGATAAATTGAAAATACAGAGACACTTATTTCACTAGTGCTGCACCTGATTTCATCGTGAAGAGAGCGCCCACTGTCCTGTTCAAGCTGTATTTGATGAATTTGTGAAGTTTTCTCATACAAACGGCTATCACTACCACCCTTATATACAATAAAATTCAACAGTCCATTCTGGGCTAGAGGAAATCTATGTTGAGTAATTTGGTAACCCGCCTGCGAAAATATTTTAAGACATAATGCATAAGGTACACTAAATACTACTGTAGTTTTATACTGAGGCGCTAAATCCTGAGGTGCTTACAGGAAGATCAGAATAAAAGTAATGTTTTCGGTCAAAAGTAGATACTTGATTCAAGTCGCAGGACAGAGCTAAGGCTGTCAAGGTGCCAGCTTCAACACACCTTCGATTCAGCACCTGGTGAAAAGAACAATGGTAAAGAGAGGTGATTTGAAAAAGAACCTCTAATTCAAAAGATTGTCAATTGGACTTACAGGAAGGGTGCCAGGGAAAGCGGCATCAAACAGAGCAACTGACCGATTAGTTGGAGTCTGGAAATTGGTATCAGCACCGGAGAACAGTTTGGATGATGACTGTATCTGAGCGTGAATTTCCAAACCCACGACTGGTTCCCATTCCCTGCAAACAAAATTTTGACACCTTCTAGGGGCAGTCACAAGAAAGTCTACAGTAAGCCTGGGACAACTGAAACTCACGGCGTAGCTGAAAAGAATCTGTAGCAGTTACTGATCTGTTTCAAAGAGCTCTTGAAATGAAATATGAAACTGAGACATCGACCGTAACCCATAATGACCATCGACACCACGAGCCCGGCGGAGGTTAAAGAGGTTGTAATATAGGACCGGTAAAATCAAAACATCATCCTTGGAACTTCATTCGGTCTGCAAGTTATGGCACGGGATTGATTGTGAATAATCGAAGAGACCGAAAACAGAAGACATGAACAGTGTTTGGTCCGCTTCCGCTACTAGCAGCAGACGATGTTATGTTTTAGTTGGAGAGACCTGAGAATAAACTGAGATCTCTGTATTCACAGTCGTATCGCGGCGTTCGGCGGCGTTGCCAGGTTACGAGGAAAATTAGTGACGTTTTCTTTTGTAGCAGGCGCTGGACACATTCAAAGCCCGCCATTGGTGGGGTCACGTGACGTACCTAAATTTTGTGCGAAAGACAGGGAGTGTTGGGTTAAACCTCCGTTTGTTTATAGTTAATTTTTTCTGTGAACATCACGATTTGGCCATCGGAGAGTCGCCAAAATGGATCACCGAAAACTGATAGACATTTTAAGAGCTACTATTGATCCGAATCAACGTCAACATGCCGAAGAACAGCTGGATCAGGTACGAGATGATACGGTGTGGTACGAAGGCCTGACATGCGGTCGAGGCTAGGAGGCATTTAAAGAATTGATTTTAGGCTTGATTTTGATGTATTTTTTCTGTATTTCGCATCAAAGGCTATTCAAACCCCTTGTCGGATTACTTAAATGAGTTCTGTCATGCATATTGTCTCTTGTATTTCTTGCCCGAGTCCATGTTGAGAATCACATGTTTCCATGCCACATTTTTCCGGTAACCATGTTGTCCGCGCGGTGCACCGCGCACTGTACAATGTAATTTGCATATCAAATGTAACGGTTTAACCGCCTAACCGGACGGTCGATATCGTTTTTTATTAAATGACTAGATAATGTTCACTAATGCTTAAATGATGTGACTGGAGGTTATTTAAGGACATTGACACCCAGATGTACTCAGACTTGGATGAATTCCAAGCACATGAATCATGAAATTCCATGTATTCTATTTTTCCACCCAACCGTTTGAACTCCTATCCCAAATGTGGTCAATCAGCCCTTTCCTAAAACCCTTTTTGTGGGCAAGAGACTTTTGAAGTTGCTATGTATTTTATGAGACACATCTTACGAATATCTTACCGAGGACCGATTCACTTTTTGGTATTTTTGGGGGTTTGCTCATAGTTTTAATCCTCGGCGTAGATTTTATATGTTTCGGACTTTCTGACAAGGTATTCCAAATCAAATGCTGACTTCTGCATCAAAGTCTCACTACATAAATTTAATTTTGTACATTTTTCTGTTTATCTTTTTTATAGATTCACAAGATTATTGGGTTTTCGCCTTCGTTATTGCAAGTTATCATGATGAATGATGTTGACATGCCTGTTCGTCAGGCAGGTGAGTTAACACAATACATGTTTTGGGAATACACAATTGTTCTATTTCTGTTGCTTTTAAATTAAATTGTTTCTGTTTGAAATATTTAGGAGTTGTCTATTTGAAAAATCTGGTTACTGGTAACTGGGCTGACAAAGAAGTTGAGCCAGGACATCCCCTTACATTCAGTCTTCATGAGCAGGACCGAGCCATGATCAGAGATGCCATTGTAGATGCTGTTGTGATGGCACCAGATATAATCAGGTACGTACTTGTGTTTTAAACAACCCTGTTGTGTTCAAAGTTGGAATTATCATGGCAATAATGATATCTCTTTGATCTCTGAATTACAGGATCCAGCTGTCAATCTGTGTCAGTCACATAGTGAAACATGACTTCCCTGGCCGATGGACTGAAATTGTAGACAAGATCAATATTTACCTTCAAAATCCAGATGGAAGTGGTTGGCCTGGGGCCCTCCTGTGCTTGTACCAACTTGTGAAGAACTTCGAGTAAGGATGTATTTCAGTCATTCATTTTATATTCTAAGGCATTGACTCTCGTTAACTATCTGTGAAATTCCCGTCTTTTTCTTCTTCAGATACAAAAAGCCTGAAGAGAGAGGGCCCTTGAATGAGGCCATGCAGCTGCTTTTCCCAATGATGTACTCATTATGTATGAGACTTCTTCCAGACCAATCAGAACAGTCAGTTCTTCTGCAGAAGCAAATTCTTAAAATATTTTTTGCCTTAACCCAGGTAAGATTGTACTAGTCATGTACTGGTTTAATTTTTGTGTTTGTGCTGTCCGGTCTTCTATAAAATACATTTTTCATTGCAGTACTCCCTCCCTCTCGATTTAATCTCTCGAGAAGTCTTTTCACAATGGATGGAAATTGTTCGTCAAGTTACTGATAGACCTGTGCCAGAGGCCACAAACCAAGTTGATGAGGAGGATAGAGTTGACTTGCCCTGGTGGAAGTGTAAGAAGTGGGCTCTACACATTCTGTACCGCATGTTTGAGAGGTTTGTAATGTTCTTAAAGATAAAGATTAACTAGCTATATATCTACTTTCAATTGTGAATTTTATTAACAATTCCATTTGATGTTTAGGTATGGCAGTCCTGGTAATGTAACAAAAGAATACAAAGAATTTGCTGATTGGTTCCTCAAGACATTTTCTGCTGGTATTCTTGAGGTACTACTGAAAATTCTTGACCAGTACAGAAACAAGGTCTATGTGTCTCCACGTGTCTTGCAGCAAACTCTAAACTATATCAACCAAGGGTATGTGATCCCGTACAATTCTGTGTTTTTGATGGTGTTTTCAAGTTTTCTGTTGCTCCTTTTTCAACCAAGGTCATGGTTCACATTTTCCTTTGTTTCTTTGTCTAGGGTCAGCCATGCTCATGCATGGAAGTTCTTGAAGCCGCATATGTTCCTTATTATCCAGGATGTCCTTTTCCCCATTATGTCACATTCTGCTTCTGATCAAGAGTTGTGGGAAACCGATCCGTATGAATACATTAGAGTGAAGTTTGGTAAGAATTTCTTTTCAGTAAACTTTTACTTTTATCATGGTGAACTGTTTAATGTGCTTTTCTTTCCCTTATTTTTCAGATATATTTGAAGACTTTGTTTCACCAGTCACAGCTGCCCAAACCCTTCTTCATTCTTGTTGTAAAAAGCGAAAAGACATGCTTCAGAAAACTATGGAGTTCATTATGCAAGTCTTGAATGCTCAAAATGCTGACCCAAGGCAAAAGGATGGTGCACTTCATATGGTAATTATCAGCATAAGCACTGTATAATGCACCCATTTTAGTTTTTTATCTATTTCTGATTCCTTATTTTTTTTTCTCAGGTTGGCACTATGGCTGATATTTTACTGAAGAAGAACTTTTTCAAAGAACAAATGGACGCCCTCATACATCAATATGTGTTCCGTGAATTCCAAAGTCCACATGGTCATCTTAGAGCTAGGGTGAGCACTTCTACAGTCATGTTTCTCATAAAATGAGGAAAGGAATGAATGTCTAGCACTGTAATCTGTGTTGTAGGCTTGCTGGGTACTGCACTACTTCAGTGAGGTCAAGTTCAAGCAGGAGGAGGTTCTGGCTGAAGCTCTTCGGTTAGTTGTCAATGCACTGTTGACAGACCAAGACTTACCAGTGAAGGTTGAGGCAGCCATTGCTCTTCAAATGTTCCTTAGTGCTCAAGACAAAGCCCAAAAATATATTGAGCCAGAGGTTTGTAAAATACCTTTCGAAGAAGAAAATACAAACAGTTTACTAGTTTTTGAAGAGAATCTTTTGTTTTCACAATTGTAGAATAACAATAAATTCGTGTTTCAGATTAAACGAATTGCTCTGGAGCTTCTTAACATCATCAGAGAAACAGAAAATGATGATTTAACGAGTGTGATGCAAAAGATTGTGTGCACTTACACCGAACAACTCACTCCAATTGCTGTGGAAATGTGTACTCACTTGGTACGTTTTTCTAGGATTTCATTTATGGTCGGTATATTATCAATTGTTTGTAATGAGTGTGTATCTGTTTAGGCTGCAACCTTCAGCCAAGTTCTGGAGTCCGATGAAGGGTCTGATGAGAAAGCTATCACAGCTATGGGTCTTCTGAACACCATTGAGACCTTGTTGTCGGTAATGGAAGAGCAACCTGGAATAATTGCTCAGCTGCAGCCAATCGTGCTGCAAGTTGTTGGGCACATTTTCTCGCAGTCAGTCATGGGTGAGAAGCGTGCTTCCTTAACCAAAGGAGACTTCTGCTGCAATGGTTTGAGCACTACTGTCTTTCATTTGTCTGTCTCGGAGCCATAAGTGTGGAGACTTCGTGTTGCTCATTTCATTTTGTGTGCTAATTCATTTCTTAAAAAATGTTATTATTCAGTCTCTATTTATTCACATTTCAATTATTGTATCTCAAGCCTTGCTTTTTTGTGTTAATTCTTGAGACTGTTTTCATAGAGTCTAATTCAAGTTTTTCTGTTCCAGAATTCTATGAAGAAGCTCTATCATTGGTTTATGATCTTACCAGTAAACAAATATCTCCTGACATGTGGAAGGTTTTGGAACTCATTTACCAGGTATTATCTTGTTGCTCTTAATCTATGTTGCTCTGGTGATTGTTTTGATATTGATTTAATTATTTTATTCTGTTGTCTTGTCGTTTAGGTGTTCCAGAAGGATGGCTTTGATTACTTCACTGAAATGATGCCAGCTCTGCACAATTATGTGACTGTGGATACCCCAGCTTTCCTTTCCAATGAGAACCATGTCTTGGCTATGTTTAATATGTGCAAAGCAGTGAGTTAATTTTTTGTTTCGTTTCATACTTATTTTGGTGTCAGAACTGGCAATCTGTGGTAAAATGTTATAATTGTTATTTAAAGTTTTGACTTGTCTTGACTGTAGCTGGACGTTTGATCTCTTCATATGCAACTATTTTCTTTGAGATGCATGGCACTTTCAACTTGAACAATTATCATTAAAGAAAGCATGCCCCTCTGTTCTGTCCCTTGCTTTATCTTAGAGTTAGAAGTTGTGTGTGTTATTTTAAAATTTTATTCTTTGGGTTCAGTTTTTTATGCTTATCTTTGCCACTGAATTCATTTTGTCTAATGTTAGTCTGAAGTTGCTTTCAAAATTCTTAATTCCATTGTCTATTCTGAAATTAAACTCAATCCTCAATCTAGGTATACTGAAAAAAATCATCACCTCTTTGTTTTAAAATCTTGAATCTAGTACTGAATTATTTTGTGGACTTTGATTCTGTTGTTTACAGATTTTGACTCGAAATTCAGATCCTACCATAAAAGAGGCTGTTGTTGAGGTATGCCATTAGTATAGGGCTTCTGTCCTCAATATCTCTAACAAACATCTCTCTTTTGATAATTATCTCAGCATCTCTTTCATGTTGAATCTACAACTCTGTGAAGTTCATGTTTCTTACAGCTGGCATTCCTCTTCTTTGTCTTTTAACAATTGTGGTGGTGGGACAGGACAGATCATGCCATTTCTTTAGCAGTTTCTTAGTTAAAGTTCTTTCCCCCTTCTTTTTCATTTTGTATTGGGGATGAGAAGCAGTTCAATCCTTCCACTTCCCTGCTGTCTTGGTTTTCTTTTTATTATTATTAGGCACGCTGTAAAAACAATACACTGTCAACCTTGATGTTTTTTAGGAAGGTCTCTTATATGGAATTTGGATTGTTTGTCTAGGTTTTGACTGGTGATTCTGGAGAAGATCCAGAGTGTCATGCTGCTAAGCTATTAGAAGTTATCATACTGCAGTGCAAGGGCCACATTGACCAGGTAGTTTTGGTTGTATACCGTTTCTCTCACTTTCATTTATGCAACTGTTAATCTGTAACTTTTTCTGTCCAGTGTATTCCGTCATTTGTTGAATTGGTTCTTGGCCGCCTTGTTCGTGAAGTAAAAACATCAGAGCTGCGCACTATGTGCCTTCAAGTTGTTATTGCTGCTCTCTATTATAACCCTGAGCTTTTGTTCCAAACAATGGAGAAACTTCAGATGCAAATGTCTCCTACTGAATCAATCACTGCTCATTTTGTGAAGCAGTGGATCCATGACACAGACTGCTTCTTAGGGTATGCCAAATTTCTTTTCTTTGTTTTTCTGATATTTTATGATGTCAAGATCTGTTCGCTAATCATATCATTTCTTTTCTGCAGGCTTCATGACCGAAAGTTATGTGTACTTGGACTCTGTACTTTACTTAGCATGGGTCAAAATCGTCCCCCTGTTTTGAATGAATGTATAAATCAGATAATGCCATCCATGATTCTTCTGTTTGATGGACTGAAGCGTGCCTATGCAGGTACTAACCAGAGTCTCTTTTTTTGGAAACGTTTATGAAAACCATCAGTCTTGTTTAATTTTTATTTCAATATTCATTTTGATTTTCAGCCAAAGCACAAGAAGGTGAAGAAGAGGAAGATGATGAAGAGGAATCAGATATTGAAGCTGGTGAGTTCCATCATTCAATTTGTTTTGTCTGTCTTGTGTATTTCTTCATTTAATATTTGATATTGCATTGCAGAGGTCTTATCAAGTGATGAAGACGAAATTGATGAAGTTGGGAATGAATATCTTGAAAAGCTACAGGAAAGAGTTAACAAGAAAGCAAACAACAATGCCTTTTCTGTGAATGCCACCCTGCAGGTACTTTTCCCATTTTATTGTGATGCTGGTATCTAATTTACACTAGTGTTAGTGTAATGTTCAATCTGTAACCATAACTATTGTTGTTTTAGGATGCTGACTCTGAAGATGATGATGACGATGAGGATTACGAAGCTAATGAAGAGACAGCCTTAGAGAGTTATAATACTCCTCTGGATGAGGATAACTGCCCCATCGATGAATATATTGTTTTCAAAGATATTATGCTAAGTAAGCATCAACCCACAGTGCAAATTACTGAATTTTTCTCATTTGCTATCTTTTATTTAACCATTTGCTCCATTCCTTTTGTACAGATCTTCAAGTTGCTGATCCAGCTTGGTACCAAGCTCTCACTGGCCAGTTGACTGAAGAACAGCAGAAGGGCCTGCAGGAAGTGTTCTTATTAGCAGAACAGCGCAAAGCTGCAGCCGAAAGCAAAAGAATAGAACAAAGTGGTGGTGAGTTTTCATTTATTATCACATTCATTCAAGTGTTGATTTGTTTCTCTTTCTTAACTCACATTTGAAAAATCTATTTCACAGGTTATGTCTTTAACCAACAAACGGTGCCTTCATCTTTCAATTTCGGAGGAAGCCCTCTTGGACAATGAAATTATATTCTGTGATAGCAGACTGATACGATAAATTAGGCAAAATGGTCCCAGTGTCTAATGTTACATGAACAGAATGACATCACGTGTTGCCAATTTGTTTCCTTAGAAATTTTTTATAGTCATTTTACATGTAAATGAGCTCTTTAGAAAGGGAACTGAGTCTTATGATTTGTTTGGGCATTAGATTTTGTGTCCTGTTCTATGTGTTGGTCTTCTTTTTTAATGATTGAAACACCCCTGTAATTTATTATTTACACTCCATCATGTGAAAATTATGTATTTATTTAAATACAAGTTGTTGGTTCTTGATTGCTTGTTGCCTTTTTTATTATTATTATTATTTGTTCTTACGTAAATGTCTTATCATTGTGCCTTACTGGAAATGAACATTCAAAATTAATAAGTGGTCACTTAAGAATCTAATGTGGATCATATCAGCACTAGACAGTCTGAACAGGGGAAGTAACTTGAAAATTCATTGTGTTAATTTCTGCAGTGGGGTATGTTTGGGGAATGTAATTTAAGTTTGGGTTAAGAATGCTACGTAGTCCTATGCACAAATGTTTCCAAGTTACTCCCCTTGAAAATGACATTGTACTTCTGTCGCTCAGCATTGCATTTTTTTGCAAGGGTTGCTTACTGGTTATACCAGATTATGCTGTTCCATTGTAAGCATGCTTGAACAATCCACGCTAACTTGCATTTATGTTGGTTCGCTTCTGCTGTTGTAGTAAATGTGTGTATAAAAGCTGCTTTGTACCTGGAAGACATGAGAAGCACAGCAACTATCTTGTTGGGAAAGGGTTAGCCTTCTGTAGTAGTTCTGAAGTGTCACCAAAGTTGAGATGCATCATTGTGTAGATAACTGGAACTTGAGAGAAGTGGAACTTAACTACAGCAGCATTCTAAAGTTGTTTCTAAAATTTCAGTTTAGTGCAATATTAGTTTTGCTTTTATTATAATTTTCAATCATTTAATGATTATTATTTTTTGATTCTGATAATTAATGTACTGTACATGCTTACAGTTTTCTGATTTTGTGTACTCTTTCACTAGTGTCTTGTAAATTTGTATATTTCAATGTTTGTAAATGACTTTCACTACATCCTTAGAGTATGTATACAGCTACCAAAAATATATTAAATGCTCAATTTATTTCACTCTATGAAGAAATTTTCAATGACCAATTTGTCACAATAAATGGAATAAGCTCAGGCCTTAAATAATAATGAGCGTACTTCGTAATTTGTCACATCTCCTAATGTAATTTCTGATCTGATATTCTTACAATAAAATGTAGTCAATGTGCTTTTTGGGTTTCAATATCATTCACACCCCCTGCCTTTTTTTTCTTAAACACTTAATTGTAATCAAAAACTATATGCAGATACTGCTCTTGTGACTGAAGGAAGAGGAGCAAACGGAAAGAAGGGTAAAACACATAATAACAATATCTGCTTACAATCTTTTTTTTTAATTCAAAATTGGACCCTATACTTGAAGGAATCACTGGAACACACGCCGTGGAACTCATCTGCCAAAACACAGAAAGATAAGTTTAGTTTACAGTATGTATAAAAGTTTCTTCGCTCAGACCAAACTTTTTTCCGTTTAATTCTCGATCGCTGCACGGCTGGACAAGGCTGGACGAAACCGGTCGACGGAGACACTGCGGCCAGCTGCTGGACCCGGCTGGACCACAGTGGAGTGCCTTGCCCCGGCTCCGTTTTTGTCGCTCTGTCTCTCTCCCACATATACGGGACGCTCCATGAGTGCGAGAGAGACAGAGCCACTGGGCTCCGCCAGGCTGCGCGGCTGCGCTCAGCCTCCGGGTCAGTGCGGGGTCGCCTCGACGCATGACGCATCATCGGCCGCGCACTGGACGGAGTAGCCCAGAGTAGCCGGCCACTGGCCGCGCGGCTACGCAGCAGGAGCAGGCAGGGCGATCACCTGACCGGTTTGGCTTGGCGGGCACGGCGCACAGTGGGCCAGAAGACCGGCGCAGGCGGCCAGAACTCTAGACGCGTTTTTAGCTCCAGAGTCGCTTAATGGGACTCGAACTGAACGTGTGACTCCACCAATGGATTCCTCGTTCGGAGAGCTATCCATTGGTGGGGTCACACGTTCGGTTCGAGTCTGCACACAACAAATATATCGCGGTATTCTAATTTTTTTGGGGCCAAAAATTAAAAGCGGAACATGTCCTTTTGGGATAGATTGAGATTTCAGAGCTTTCGGATATACAGCAGGATGAAAACTTTTGCCGTGGCGTCGAAGAGGGGGAAATAGGGAGAAGGAAAAGGGGAGGGGGGGGGAGGTCTGAGGCTGTATCGCGGCGTGGCCGCGTCGCCGCCAGCCCTTCCCGTCGGGACAATAAAGTCATTCGCAAGTTGTTGGTCAGTTCCGGCCAGCATGGATATTACATGTAGATGCTGGCGCCGTTCTGAGACGGGCCAGACAGACAGACAGACAGACAGACGGGCATGCAGATAGAGGCGAGCAGAACAAGATAAAACAAATCACACGGTCAAAAATTATTTTTTGAAACTTTTAAATGCAAAAATTTTAAGTTTGTTCCATCTTGGATCCATAAAATTTAGTCACACAAGAAAAGTAAAAAGAAGGGGACAAAATCCAACAGGAACCCATCACTGATCTGGATCCAAAACCGACTCCAACTTTTCATTGCTGTTGTTGGTGGTTTACAGTGAAGCGGCGCGCCCCTGTTGTTTCTAACAGTGTAGCTGCGTTCCTTGAAGACGTGGCCCCGCATCGCCCCGCATAGTTGGGGCAAGTTTGGAGGACGAGGCAGCGGAGGCAGCCCGGCCGGCTATCTTATTAGCTAATCAATCTGAGCCTGCAGCCGGGGCTCGGCCAGACGGCCGGGCGGCCCTGCCAAGTAGTGAAGTGGCGCGTGCAGCAGCGTCTTGGTGGCCGCCCCGCCCCGCCCCGCCCCGCCCCGCCCCGCCCTCGCAAGGGAAGCCCTCAATAGACAGAGGAGGGGAGGCCAGAGGTCCTGGACCGCGAGGAGCGCGGGGCGCCCGGCTAGGTCCTGCGGGGGAAGGAGCCGCACAGTGGGCCAGAAGACCGGTGAAGGCGGCCAAAATCCCAGACGCGTTTTGAGCTCCAGAGTCGCTAAATGGGACTATAACCGAACGTGTGACCCCACCAATGGATTCCTCGTGCGGAGAGCAGTCCATTGGTGGGGTCACACGTTCAGTTCGAGTCCCATTTAGCGACTCTGGAGCTCGAAACGCGTCTTGAGTTTTGTCCGCCTCCACCGGTCTTCTGGCCCACTGTGAGCCGGCGGCTCGAGGGAGGGAGAAGGGGAGGGGGAGGGAGGCCGCGTGTTGCGTGTAAACATGACGACAGCCACGCCGCGTTGGTTAACTCGCCGCTCATGTAAATTAAATTATTTGGCTTGCGGCGGCAAGTTCCAACTCCGAACTCTCAACCGGAGGCGCACTCGGCTACCGATAGCCCTGGTTCCCCTGACCGTACGCTAAGGTAGCTCTCCATAAATTCAGCTTCATCATAAAGATTGAGCTCTCGTGAGGACTAGATTCAAAATTTTGCCTTCGACATTTTTGTTGGACAAAGTAAGACGGTCTACTTTTGTGATGCAGGAGAGCCTGAGTATGCGAAATCCTAGTCCAAGTCCCTGCCTTCTGCGCAAAGAAAATTGTAATTTTCGGAACAATCTTTAACAGTGTCTCCCTCTACGCCAGTAATCTCTGGGCAAACCGAGAGGGTTGCTTAATTGAGCTCTTGTGGTTGGGTCAGTTGAGTTGAAACGGAGCAAGTTTTGAAACATTTCAGAGCCTAATTTTTCTCGTGTTAGAATGGCCCACAACTTCATACCCCAATGCTTCAAACTCAAATTTGCACATCGTAAAGTCTCAAAGACACACTCACACATTACCCCGGCCTACACACATGAACAAATAACTTACATAGTCACACACAAAATATATTTGTACTTTTTCGTGCGAATTTTCACCGAAATTAGCTCGAAAATTCGCTGTGACATTTCGGCACGGTTTTGCTTGCGATATTGCAGTTAGCTAGAGCATTATTGTGCGAATTTTGAAAGGTTTCTTTCAAACTTGCGCATGAAACCACGCAGAAATAGTCAGGCGCGAAAATTCGGTGGCAATATTTGCACGATGTAAGCACGAACCCTGTGATATGAGGGCACATACACACACTCACTTGTAGCAAACGCCGTCCGGTCCGTCATGGAGGCCACACTATTTTTTATAGCGTGTCACATCGAACAGTCCTCTCTCCTCGAGATACGTCATCGAACTGATCGAGCTGCGGACGTGCCTCGCCGCCTCGCGTCACAACACCAAACTCCACGACAAACCTAAAAACCGGATCAGCACGAAAAAAAAATCAAAATCCCTGTCCTTTGATTGGTCGCGCGGGGCCGGCTGGAGAGCCGCAGCAAGCAAGGGGTTGAGCAGATAACGGTGAGATTGGGGAGGGGGAGGGGTGGGGGGAGGGGATGGAGATGAAGTTGATGATGATGAGGGCGAGGAGGGAGAGGGACGAGCCTGTCTCGCGGTCCGTCTAAGGACTGTGGAGCCGGACCACGCCGCGCGTGCCGAGGGGTGGCGTGTCTTAGCACACACACACACACACACACACACACACCACACACACACACACACACACACACACACTCCTCCCCCTTTCACCTCGTCGTCTGGTAGGCCGGTCCTGAGCGAGAGGCCTCCGTCCGTCGGTCTAACTCTGTCGCTCCCACAGGAGACGGCCCACGAGTGCGAGAGAGAGGGAGAGAGAGACTCCGCTCTAGCCGCTTGGGCCGCTTTTGCAAATGACACGCATTGTCGGGGCGCTTCTGTTGGCGTCTTTGTCCGCGAGGCGTGGTCAGTCTGGGGGTCAGTGGCGCGTCCGCGGCCGAGAGGACGAAGAAAGGGCAAAGAAAGGGCGAAGCCTGCCGAGCCGGCGAAGCCTCGAGACTGTTTCGTGTCTTTTGTCTTCCCTCGGTGAGCCGCGGCAACCTGAGGCGGACAGGGTGTACTTCGCCGAACTTGCTGTCGCCGCTGCGAACGGCCAGCCGGCTCAGCTTTGTCCAGGTTGACTATGGACCTAGAAGGTCGGAGCGGTGCAGGGCGTGGTGGCGGTGGAGCGGCGCAGGCGGCGCGGGGTGCGCGGGCAGTGCGCCCGGCACAGCGGCAACCACCCGCCGGTCGACGCACTCCTGTGGGCGGGTTGCCTGGACCTGTTACGTCGGGCGCGCGCCGCCGGACGGCCACGGAGCCGCCGCAGCAGCGGGCCGCCGC